CCACTTGAAAATAAGTTATATCCAACGGCAATGGCTAGTAACTAATACCAAACAGATCAATAAGATTCTATAATATGTACTATTTATTTAGGTTTGCCGTGTTTGCAAATTTCTGCACAACAGGTCTTCTAAGCACTTATAATTTAAAAAAACAACACATTTAGCCGTATACCGCTATACGTGCGGCCGTAGAGGAACTTGATTTCCGGGTTATAAATAAAACTAAAGAATCATATGAAAATGGCAAAATTGTAATATTCTAAGTATTACGTGTCGGGAATAGTTGATTTTGTGTGTAAAAAAAATTGGGTTTTTTTATTTTTAAACGCATTATTAGTTGTATATTTAATTTCATCATTATAAATAACATTTGTGGCACGTAATCCTTGGGTGGTTGCAAAAACAAGATATTAATTTAACGTAATTCGAGTACATAAAGGGTTTATTTATATTTCTTACCGTCAAATCTCGACTGTTCATTGGCAACAAGCGGATCCGTTTAACTATTAACAAATCGCCCATTTCGTTCGGTGTAGATTCAATACTGCTTGTGTGTGTGTGTGTGTGTGAATTTGTCATGTGCCACAAGGAGGCTCCTGGCAAGTTTCCGTAGGGATATTGTTTGTACGGCAATGCGTGCGAATGAATGATTATTACTGTAAAATTCGGCCTTGTTGACCGCAGACTGTTGTCGAGACAATAGACAGGCAAATGACCGAAATTTAGAAGAGCTTAACACACATATCGTCTGATCCAAGTCCACGTTGTGTGCGTCACAGAACTGTTATTTGTCAAAAAGTTTCTAAAAAAAAAAACAAAATCCCACGCGAACAAATTATCGACCAATCCCCTGCCTCCCCCGTTTAGACATCAGTAGTGCACCAAAGAGCCAGATGTAATTTGTATTATTTATTTACAAGGCTTTTTTTAACAGTTAATGTAGTCTTAAAAAATAAAAAAACTGTACACAGTAGGTAGTACATATTACTTTTTGTCCTCTCAGCACAAGTTGTAAAACTGTGTCACAAAAAAGAAATAATCTTTTACTTAAGATGACGTTATACCCCCTATTTATTAGGTATGGGCAATTTTTTGTAAAATCGTAATTTAAACGCTAAACTGTGATGTTTAACTATTAGTTAAGTAGTCTCGACTCTTTTTTTGGTAGTTTATTTATTTTTCAAAATGTCACAGCATCCTTGACAGCGATTTAAAAGAACAATTTCATTTAAAATGGCTACGCATATTCTCTCTTATCAACTAAATAACAATTTTTTTTTTACATATTTAAAATAATAAGAACTTGCTTTAATTTTATAAGTTCCATTAAAAAAAAAAAAATTAGTAAGTAAATTTGTTTTTAAAAAATTTTTGGATTATTGGTCTAAAAATTAGACTGATAATAGATCAACAGTGTACCTACCTGAAAGATACACTCTTAATGAAAATTAATAGGTAGAACTTTAATTTGTATTAACATTTGTTTTAACACCAAATAGTACCAAAAATATTTCGTAGTATGTTTACGTTCTTCAAAGTTTAAACTATAAAATTGTTTAGCAATGTTATGTCTCGCTTTATATAATGTGCGATTTCAGTCTACTAAATGAACTGTAGTATTATAAAATAAATCTTGTGTTCTGAAAGTTGACGTTGGTCCAGTAACAAGAGTTATTATACAGAACAACAAATAATTTAAAAATCAAATTACACATATATTTTTAGTAGTTTTCTCAGATAGGCATTGAAGCTATCAGTTGTGGTTAGGTTAGGTTAGGTTAGGTTAGGTTAGGTTAGGTTAAATAGCGATAACGATTAATAGTGATATTATTTTACAATTACTTAAATTGAACTTCATTTGAACGGAGTAAGCCCTGTTTTTTATGCAATCGGTTACCTTTTTTACCGCCTCGTACTTGCCTCGAGTCGTCTCGCATTCTGATGTCTGTTTTACATAAGGCGTTCTCATCCATGTGTCATCTATTCCATGTGAGCGAGACGAGGGCAACAATTAGTATTTTAGTCACGAATTATTTGTACACACATACTGCACGCTGTCGGTCGTACACACATAATCGTATACAACCGAAAACCGATATGTATACACAGCCTAATAGCATATGTACGTTATTATTATTATTATTATCCACAGCAATGTATTATTATGATTTATGACCGTTTCGCCGCGCCGCAGTTAAATAATAGAAATTTAAAAAAAAAAAAAAAGAGGGACGTTTTTCCAAACCGATAATCTTCTTAAAATCGACACACGTAGAACGTGTCCACCGCCGTTGATATTTGTATACAATAATAATGTGTCAGCTCATTCATGTTATACATGTAAACTGAATACTATTACAACGCCCCAGCAAATAACACCCGGCAGACTAACAGCATGCACATTTTTTTTTTTTTTTAGCAAACGGACGACACGCTTAAGAATCCGTTTTTTTTTTTTTGTAATTACCGAGTTCACTGTGTAATATATTTATACACATGTAAACGTCTAACAGGCACAAAGGCGTCGCTAGTGAGATATCCATCAAGGTCTTTTGAATATTAAAATAATTATAATAGTGTATTATGGACGTTCCTACATTGCCGTCATCGTTTAAGAGTGGCTATAAATTATCGTAAAAATACATTTTTGTTGAAACAGTCAAATATGACATCAGAAACCGGTGAGAGCTGCAATGTATTGCAAACCGAAATACGAATAGTTGTGACCTTGAGCATATGTTTTATTTATGTGGATATCCATAAAGTACGTATAGCCATTGGCATTGTAACACTTTGATTGCATGTGTACTTTGCATCTTAGAAATCCAAAATTACATTTACCAACTTTTGAAAAATCCAAAATAAATTATTAATTTTCCATAACTGTGGACGTTAAGAGGACAATAGTAGTACGTTTCAGCAATTATTTGCATATTATGTACCGTAGCTTTAAGTTCACTTTTAAATTGCTCTGACTTTTAAATCAAATTGTTATTCCTCGGCTGTATTTATACGTCAAATTATACACGTATGAGTATAGAATGCCTATACATACCCCTTTATTTAGTTTTTAATTATTTTTATCATGTTACTTAATATTTTACTGTTGCACGAGACAGGACTACATTTGTCACATAATACCAAATACAAGAAAAACCATTTAAATAAAACACATAGAAGTGAAAAAAAAAATAATCATTCATTAAATTTAAACATGCGTGATGGTTAATAAATTATTTGTCTCTTTCAAAACTTTTAAACTTTTTTAATAATTAAAGTAACTGTTTGTTATAATTTTACAAGTTTTAAATTAGTAGTCGAATGTATCTTAGTTATAACGTTTGTATAGCGTTATATTTAATATGTAATTTATGAAATTATTTTATCTACTTCATATAGGATATTCTGGTTTTTTTCTTTCTCAAATAATACTATACGTATAGCCTAACTCGTTAGAAATAAATTAACTTTAAACAGTTAATGCCAGAAAAAATGTTTAACTCTTAAGCATTCGTTTAATAAAAATTATAAATAACATATATTATTCTTAAAATGTAAAATATAGGTAAAAACAAATTACCAATATTTCTAATAATATATTTTATATTACAATATACACAACATTTATTTTACACCGACTAACCGATTAAATATAATAACTAATGAAAGGTATTATGTTTAAAAACTTAATTATTGTTTTTAGTTTATACTCTACATTTTAAAGCTTTTATAAGTTATGAAAGTTTCAGGTTATATAGTTATAGGTTTGATGATGCTTAAAAAAATTTGTCCAAGTCTAAATTTTTTAATTGTTTATCAATTCATCAGTATTCAAAAAATGTATAACCACTAATAACATCGATCGTCTTACCAAAAGATCCATATGGTTTTTCTGTATTTAGGTATGGTATAAACTCATTTTCACAAATTTTTGACTTGATAGTTTTTTTTTTAGTTAATTGTTGTTGTAAGTTTATTTTAGTTTTTTTCTACACTGTAATAATTTGTTAAATGACATCTGTATTACCTGTGCTGCTTGCCCTATTGGGCGTAATTTATATTAATATTCTTATTAAACTATACATCTATCTTATATAATCTATTGTTGTGCAACTATATAAATGCACATAAAGTAGAAAAAGATACATATGAGCCTACAAATTATTACCGAGTTCTTCTAATCCGCCTCCACCATACGCGAGCTTTGCTATAGCATGTATGTATACATCCATGGGTAAGAATGGTCGAGTTTAATAAAAATGGATAATATTGAATATCAGGTTAATTGGCAAAAGCGCCACTATTTTGTAATCACATAGTCTGTAACGATGGAAGCTTACATTTTTACACAGAAAATCTAATTTGAAAAAGTAGTGTTTATGCTAAGCTTCTAACCATCGATATGTAAGTAATTAAAAAAAATATTTTTGTCATTAAAATTAAGTTATTAGTTTACACTAATAAGCAACGTTTCATATTATTTTCCAAATTCTGTTCATCATTAAGACTTAAACGAAATTTATTATTTAACAGCATTTAATTTAAAATTAAATAACAACTTTTATTCATTCAAGGAAAATAAGTTGTCAAACTTTAACATTAATTAAAATATTACTGTTCATAACGTGTAGGTAGTTTCAATTCTTCTTTACTAAAATACAATTTTTTTTTTTATAAAATCCATTCAGTTATGCGGTGAAATATTTTTAGAAGCCTATTAATATTATTTTATTTTTTAAGTAGAATTGTACGCTATTTGTAAAAAAACATTTGAATCTCAACGTAAAACGAACATTTAAATTATTAAATAATATTGAGTTTTTGTTGTGGCTAATGTAAATGAAGAATTAAAAAAATAATAATAATAATTATACACTCACCAACTTGTAGTTGTTATTTCAATTTTTCATCAAGTTGTTACCATATAAATAATATTTTGAATACACCATTAAGATAAGAGCTATTGGGGTATTATTGTAGAACAAACAAGTCGTGATAAATGTGGTAAATAGGCTCGTATATTGTTGTCAACACAAAAAAATAATAGTTCAAAACAAAGGTCAAGCAATACTGCTAGCATTAGATGCAATCCTAGGCCATAAATCTGCACATTCTTTAGCAACAGGACCAGTTATCGCACTTCCTAAAATAAGATTAACCTGTTAATAACAATATCACAAGTAAATAAAACTATTTGTGGCAATTACCTTTCATTTCGCCTTTATTGTTAACTATAACGCCTGCATTGTCCTCAAAATATATAAATATCCCATCCTTCCTTCTAAAAGGTTTCCGCTGCCGAATGACTACTGCTGGCATTACTATATTGTACAAATAATTAAACACGAGTTTAGTACATGACAGAAATGAGAATTTTCGTTTTTAATCGCTTACCTTTTTTACGGAGTTCAGGCTTTCCCTTCTTGACTGTCGCGACAATCATGTCACCCGATCCGGCAGCAGGCAAACGATTCAAACGACCCTTGATACCTTGAACAGCAATGACGAACAAGTTCTTTGCGCCTAAAATAACAGAAACCATTTATTTGTCGGCCCGTTAAATTATATTTCTACCGTTGTCTTTACCAGTGTTGTCAGCGCAGTTGATGACGGCACCGACTGGCAAACCCAGGGAGATACGGAACTTGGCTCCGGCGGAACCACCACGTCCTTAAAAAACAAAAAGCAAATAGTAGCCATAAATAATTTATAACATAAACCACGTTGCACGTTGTTTTTCGTTCGAGCTGTACAAATGAGAAAACGTGTCGCGTGTACTGACAACAAAACATGGACGACCGCACTTTTCGTGCCGGACCGTCAGCCGACACGCTTTTTACCAAAAACAACATTAAAAATATAAAAAAAATGTCGACTTACCTCTTTTGGACATGTCGGGTTATGTGTGTCTTAGTGAAAAATATGTGAAAAAAATCAAACACCGCCGTCGAGTTTAGTGAACGAGCACACGAGATAACCTAACAACACGGCGGCAGAGAAAGACAAGAGGGATGGTCGGCTACAGTGACGGCAACTGTGCGCCAGTACATTCTTCTCCCACCGATGGCACGGGCGACACAAGCGCCATCTATCCTCAACGATGACGGCGCGAAATTCAAACGTTAGCGCAAAACGTTTACCGAGCGACTTTTTTTTTTCTTTTAATTTTTCACACCGTAACGGAAACGTTTGTTATAATAGACACTAATGCCGTATATACAACATGATGTTCTCAGATTCCACTTTACGAATTGCTTATTTTTCAATTTCCCACTTTATTTAGTTCTTTAATTATTATTACCACTTGTATTATTGCGCAACGGATTATCAATAGATATGGCTACATGATAATTGATATATCCTAAATAATTAGTAGGTTTAACATTATGACGTCTGAATAGGTCGAAACCATTTTATACACACTGCACAGGACATTTTTAGTTTAATAACTCGGTACAATTTAGCTTCAAACTACATATTTTATACATAATTATACATATTTTATTAATCATTTTCAATTATTTTTTATCGATGCAAATGTATTAATAACAAAATAATTTTCATATTACAAAAACAATATAACAACCTGAAGACAAAACATAATTGTATTTTATTGTCTTATTGAATTTTTATGGTAGTTCTGTAAAATAACTAGTAATCAAAATCGAGTAATGTAATAATAAAATTCGAATTAGAAAATATTCGCTAAAACGAGAATGACTTTTAGTTAAAAACTATACTATTAATTAGTCGATTACCAGTTTTGAATTTTCATCTGCTTCCTGTCGTTGTAGCCATTCATGTCTGTCACTTGCTGTCTTCTTGAGTTTTTGATATGAGCTAAAATCCATCCGATGAAAGATTTCTTCAAAGAAAGATTTACGCAGTCTTCCTCTGGTTCTTGTGGCGTTTATTTTCCCTTTCATGATGATGGCGATGAACTGAATTATTGACTTTTACTAACCATATAGGGGATATATTTAATTTCTGGCTATTAATGATAGCATGATCTATAAACGAATTTCTGGCTAAATAAGTTAAAGATTTAAGATGGATTATTAATATTTAACACCAATTTATTGCAATTGTAGATTTTAATTCTGGTGAAGCCGGTACATGAAAAGCTAGTAATTAATAAAAATGAGTAGCACCATATTGAATTATTTTACTATTATTTTATAAATCATTCATCTAATTTAATTTATCATAAGGTAAATGAAGTAAAATATTTTAGCTTTATTAGTACACGTGTTTGATGTATTAACGGAGTCTTCCTTGTTTAACAATTAACAGTATATTTAGACATATTTTACTCTATAGAAAGTGTGTACAAATAAATGGTATCTTTTACATTCTGTAGTCTGGGGATTATTTTTAGTATCTACCTACTTACAATTTATTTGATCGTTATAAATATTGAAAAAATATAAATTACAGTAATGTTTCGATATTCATTATTATTATTATTTTTTTTTTAATACGGATTCTTTAAACTCTTGGTATTTGGTAAACATATAATATAATTATCATAGCTAAACAATATTGTCTAGCTCGAACACAATATAATATAGCTCTTGCTGTTTAATATTATTTAAATGCATTAGAGTATTTTACTCACATAAATATATAAAGTGTATTGTATAATGTAAAATTAAACAAACGGTTATTATTTTTTTTACCACTACAGAGTGTACTGCAGGAGAATTTAAGTGTCACACATCAATGGTTTGTATAAACAAATCACTTCTATGCGATGGTTACAAACATTGTCAGGACGGTTCGGACGAACAAAACTGTAGTATACATAGTACGTTTAAACTGTAAAAAGGGCGAAATCAATTATAAATGCATTATTATTGACTGTCATACGCCTATGCTTATGGAAAATTTGTCATGCTGTGACTCTGGTACTTCCAAGACTTTCTTCCAAAATTATTTTTATCTGAAACACATTGTGCCAACGATTATAGATATTTGTTCGTATCACTTCTTTATCGTACATTTTGTCTATAACTGAGGTATTATAAAGCACACACGTTGCAGAACAGCACATAGAAAATATACCTACTTGTTTTTTTACTAAGGATCTTTATTTTTAAATACATGACGAACTTGCAAGACGCTGCGCCAGTGCTTAAACAACATTACTTATGATAAATGTCCTTATTCAATACTTATAATTGTGTGTGTTGTAAAAATGTATACTTGTGTTTTATATTATTAATATATAGACTGTCGACTGGGCGTTAAGGGGTAAACTGGATTTTGGAAAACCAAATTAACTAAATTTTTTTGTAATCGTTAACATTAATAAACTCAGCCAGAAGCCAATTAGTTTGTACCGGGAAAAACTTAAAGCCTAGGAAAAATCTGAGACGAGAAATCGGGGTAAAAGTTATAACTACTCAAACTACTACTGGTTTTGGTTCAAATTAACTCGATTTAAGTTCAGCTAGGTATTAACTTACCTAATTTTGTTAATCGTTAATTTTTACCCTAGTCAGGAACTACTAACTAATAACCATTACTAATAACTTTTACACACCCTATGATTTATTAATATTTTGTCATTAGGTATAGATTCGGCGTCTCTGCAACTAAAACTTAAAATATACTTTGCACTTTACAGTCATTGACTTCCACCATAATACCTACTGTGCTTTTTTACACTAGCAATGCCTATTGTTAATGTGTATACTGTTGGTGTCATTATGGGACTTGTTTTATGGTTGTTATTTCATACAGAATATACATAAACGGCTATAATTGGCGGTTATGGACGGAATTAAATCTAGAATACCTACTATGTAGGCTCTACGTAATGTGTTTATATTGATATTTTTTTAGCTGGGTAAAATAATATTTAAGACTGTGACTTCGTGATAATAACATAATTCCTATATAATTTGTCACGTTTATGGCTTCATTTTTGTTTTGTATTGTGTTCGTCCCAATCGTGTAATTTGGGCTACAAATCGGGATTAAAAATAATAAAGACATTTTTAACAAACTTAATTATTTTAACTGTGTAGATGCTGTTTGCGACAAGAGTCAGTTCCAGTGTCAAATCGACAAGGTGTGCATTGACAGCAGGAGACGTTGTGATCGGTTCGACGACTGCTCTGACGGATCGGATGAAGTGGATTGCGGTAAAATACGAATAAACCACACAAATCCGGGTTTCCTCCTATTGGTGCAAAGCGCATGTTGAACTTGATTTCTATGTTGTTTTACTTTCAGACACTTGCACTTCCGAAGAGTTTCAGTGCTACGACGGCAAATGTCTGAACATCGACAAGAGGTGTAACGGTAAAGAGGAATGCAGTACGGGCGAAGACGAAGTCAACTGCGGACCACCGCCTTTAGATCCCGGCTCAGGTAAGCTGATGTCGATCACACCCGGATATAGGTGATAACTTTGAGGCGGAAATCCGGTCAAATCGTTGACAGCGTTTCGCCACAATTACAATACTCACAAGAGTGTTTTTTTAGTCAATAATAAAAAAAAAAAAACCAGTAACGACCATCAACGATCGGTGACGGTACAATATTCATTCACGCGATTTAACCCACAGTGAATAATAACGGTTATTTGGTTGTGTTCAACCTGCCGCAAAAGTCACAGAACGCCCGTGTACTTTGGATTTAATTGAAGTTAAAATCAATTTGGGCGCCACTTGACCTTTGAGACACACTGTATAATATGTACGCCTAGTGCTTTTCATAAAAATCACCTAACTTGTTTGACACATTGATGTAGAATAATATCAGCACCAAGACGCAATTGACGTATTAGTTGTACAACTTCATTTACATGTGCGTTCAGTTTATATATTATTATAATTTAATACAACGGGTGGTAAAGCTTTACGGTAGTTTAGAAATTACACACTGTACTTATTGTGAAAACTTCAACAATTACGATTGAGAATTAAAACAAAAAAAAAACAACAATTCTTTATTTTTACTTACTCGTTTTCTTTCCACAATCCAAAACGTACAATTGTGTAAATCACTATTCAGTTTATAAAAAAAAATTCTTCATTTTCTTACAATTAATAAAAATTAGTGTTGGGCAAAAAAAAAAAAACGATGATACATTTAAAACTTGTTAGTTGTTGGTATCTAATTTTTAAAACATTTGCAATATTCCTGTTAATTGCGTTAATATTATGTATTAATCAACTCTAATCCGATTGGACTAAAATACATTAGCTATTACACACCTAGCAATAATGTACAGAAGTGATGGGTGCGTGAAGTGTGTAGATGAAACAGAATGAGAATTTAGTACACTAGAAGAAGTTTAAAAACAAGGAAGAGAATTCACTGTGGAAGGTAGATTTCAAGGCAGAGATAAACAGAGGAGGAAGTGGGATAATCACGTGGAGACGTGTGGATTGAATAAAATAATAGTTACGGATAAATTAGATTTGACTGGCGCGCCCAACTTTTTCTTTTTTTTTGCCCAAACCGATGTAATGTCCACAACAATTGTAGCGTCTCAATTGATTTGTTATATTTCAGCTATTGTGTTGTATGTTGTCTATGATTTAATATTAATTAAAATATGTTATTGTAATTGTTATACGTCGCTCTAATTCACTTGTGGCACGCTTTTTCGTATTTAATTGTATACAGACCCCATGCTTGCACCTTGTGCCGAATCGGATTTCACGTGTAATGACAAGAGTTGCATACCCATGTCGAGGTCATGCGACGGACAGGCGGACTGTCCGGACGCCGAGGACGAACTGAATTGCACCTACGGTAAACCCGCGTCCTCCTCACATTACTCTACTTCAGATGCATTTAATATTTCTCATGGTTTCATGGTGGCAAGACCAATTGATGTGACCCAATCGACAATAAGCAAATGGTCCACCTTACACCTGTCTATTTCTTTAATTACGAAGTCGTATTTGGCAACGATTGTTATTAATTTTCACTTAACATTCTACAGTCGTTTGTCTACAATCCTTTTAAAATATTTTATCCACGTATTAAGTCTTGCGCTGACGTGCAGAGACCAACTTCAGAGGGTGTTCTCATCGTTGTGAACACTCAAGCTGTGAATATATACACCCTCTGAAAACGGACTCAAAGACCGAGTCTGAAACGTTGGCCCAAAAAAACTGAATGCGCAGATTTATTTTTTAATATTAAAAATATACCAGTCGGTAACTTATTCTCGAGTGTTGTCCCAATTGACCTTATCACCATCGATCTGTAACATACCTACTAACAATAACATCTCCTTCCCGCTGACTTCTTCTATATTATTGGGGTGGAAATACCTAATTGCTTTAGTCTTCAACCTATAATCCAAACGTTCTCTAAAAAAAAACGCCTTACTCACACCGGTAACCTTGCATCATTTTCAATTTCCCTGATTCGCCATCATTATCACTAGTCTCTACCCATTTCTATCTTATTTTTTTTTTTCGTTTTATTTTAATCACAAAGAAAAATTATACTGTAGGGTTACTTCTAAGATACTGCTTGCCTGAACGGTTTTCCTCACTTTCTTATTTTCACACCAGAATTCTGACCAACAAGTCATTGCTAACTTCACAATAATGTTATTATTATCCCTTTAACCTGTTTAATTGTTTTTAAATTTCGACTATCTTAACTTTTAACCAGGTTAGAATCTTAAACGGACGAATCTATCAATAGCATCCGTCGACTCAACAGTGCCTTACAGTACGCACCTTCCTTTTTAATGATATCGTCCCTGTTCTTTTTAACTTGTGTTGACTTACCATCCGTTCCTTTAAGTGCTTATGTAATATATCATTACACGTTATATTAACAGCCTCGAGTCTAATTGTAACCATTACAAACGGGTTAAAAAATTAAAAAAAAATCACCGCTTTTCGTAATTGTTATATAACATGTTGGGTAGTTTTGTGTTGTAATTATTGTGTTTTTGTGGCTTTCTGTGTACTATTGCCGTGTAGATAACAACGGGCCAACCTCGCCGCCCTTGCGGCCAACGGTTACTTGGCCGCCGGTCAGAAAGCCTTTGCCGCCCGTCATCATTCCTTGTTTGTCCAACGAGTTCCAATGCCGCGACGGTCAGTGCATCCTCAGCAATTACCTTTGCGATGCCATCGATGACTGCAAAGACGGCAGTGATGAATCGGATTGCAGTAAGTACATTACTTGAGGCCGTCCGCAGATGTCGTATAATTTGGATTTCGGTAAGAGGTCTACCACGCAGTTACCGCCAGACAAATGCGGCAGACAATTATTTTATCTTGAACATACTTCCTGGCTATACAATCCGCTCACACCATCATTGTATACACTGCACTCGTTGGCTTTTTGCATACCAAAATTGGGCTTTATCATTTTGATTTTTATCTTAATTAATAATACAATATAAGTCGGGTATTGGTTGATTACGCGTAGAACGCGAAATGGAGAGACAGTAATTACTGTTTGCTTATACTTTATTGTAAAATGAAAAAATGTTTAAACCTAATCACGTATAAAATACTTGAAGACGATGTACAAAGACTAATAGAAAAAATGAGTTTATTATTTTTATTTCATTCATAGAACCTATTTTGGTTAATCGAACAATAAAAAAATAGTCAATATATTTATCGACAATTTTTATATCTATTTGTCCGTTTAATATGATTTACGATCAATTATATGGTATACAACACATTCCACGGATCACGCGTGATAGCTCTCAAAAGCTAATGTCGCTTTTTTATTCGATGGATTTTTGCCGTTTAAAATAAAAGAAGTTGATCTTCTTATAAAATGTTAGCTATAACAATATAGAGCCATTAGATGTGAAATAAAAATAAAAATGTTTGCTCGTGTTTCAAATTTCATAGACATATAAACAACAAAATGTTCTTAACATAAATTTATACTGTTATACTAATTATTTAAAATAACAATTAACAGTTTATTTTTAATGTTTATATTTGTATTTATTTACGCCTAAAGCATAAATGTCCCAAAATTTTAATGCCGTTGCCAATAACGCATTTTTTAAAGTGAATTTATGTATTTTTCTCGAAATTTAGAGTAGAGGAAAAGGATTTGAAAAATAATTCTAAACTAAAGTAGGTGTCGCGTTTCATATCAAATGTAAGATCATTTTTTAAGGTTTCTATTTCCATGCGTTCCAGATTTATCACCGAAAATGTTTAAATATTATTTTTCCTCGTACATATAAATGCAATTGGCGAAATTGTGCAATTATATATTTTTTTTTAAATTAATAGTAAATATCTTAAGTTTTAGAATAATTCAAAGTACAAATGAAAAGTAATGTGATGATTTTATACGGAAAATAACCTAATATTATTATTGATTGGTATTATAGTCTTACTATAAGTACTAAAAGTTTAGTATTACCATACTCTCGGGGGAGGGGGGGGGAGGCTTCTTCTTAACGAATAGGTCCAAATAGTTAATTGGCTAATTTTACTAAATTTAGAACCGACGACGACGACGACAACCACCACCACAACGACCACTCTTCGTCCGTTACCGCCACAGACAAATTCCAGCATCTTCACACGTCCCTCGGAGCCATCTGTATATGTAACGTGTAACTGGAATGAATTCGCTTGTCGCAACAGAAGGCAATGCATTCCAAAATCGGCCAAGTGCAACAACAAAGTCGACTGCTACGACTATTCAGACGAAGAAAATTGCTGTAAGTACCCCTAAGTGTCACTTGTGCGCCGTATCGGAAAATTACATACCAAACCCATAAAATACGACTCAACAACCAGTATTTTAATCATGTGCTTTATTTGTTAAACATTTTCCACGTATACTGCAGATGGAACTCCAGACGGATTAAACTTGAAGACCTATCCTAACGAACAAACCATTAAAGAAAGTGAGTATTTTGTTCACGCGAGATAATATATTTAATCTTGGGTAATAAAATAATAAAATATGAAGTAAAAACCTCGACCAAAAAAAAAAAAGTATATTATTCAGCTGTAACATCGAAATACCACTTCGGTAGCAAAGTCTACCGTCATCAGCGCTCACGACATACTAAGTAAGTCAGTTGTAGCAGTCTCAGGCTATTTTATAAGCGCTGATGATGATAATAGCATTGCTAACGTAGTAACCCTTTTACAATACTATTGAAAAGTTTTTTTTTGGTTAAAGGTATTTCTTTTAAATTGTATTGTTTTATTATTTACCTGACTATATATAACCCCAAGATTTCCTCGGGTTTTTCTAAATTAATTATTTTATATACCTACATGGTTTGAATATGACAAACTATTTTGCCGAATTAAATACAAAGAGGAGGTTATATTTTAACACACAAAAATCATATCATGTCGGTGAATACCAGTGGCGCAATAAGCTACAACATTTTTTGGCGAGGGCTTAACCTTATTTGCAATTATATCGACGAAAACTTAGCAGCATTGGTAGTATTTATCTTTTATTGATTTTATATTGAGGAACTTAAGCATCTCCAGCCCTCTTCCTTTTTCGCGTCAATAATGAATACCTAAAAGTTTACCACTTACGCCTATTTACTAGCTAATTTCTTGAAACAAAATATTTTGACTTGAAAAATGAAAACGGGGGAATTATTTAAGGTGTACCCTACCCTGTATACATTACCATTTAAAAATCTTAAGTTTATAGGCTTCTAACACATAATAGATGGGGTTATATATGTAGTTGAAAAATATATCAAGTTTGGACTAACTAACATCTGATAATGTATGAAAAAGAATGTCTAAAAAAGTCTTATATCTTTTAAAATATTGTTGACTGGTATAATATTAGTAGTATCCGCCGATGTTTGCACAAATTGCAAGTTCTTATGCACGCAACTAATAATGTTAAATTTATGATAAATAACGCCAGTCAAAAACCTATAAATCTATACTTGCAATAATTGCAGTTATAGATCATTCAACTATAAGTACTAACCTGATGAACATTAAAGTATCACATTTATAATATTATACAGGTACAGTCCAATATCATTAAGGCATAGACTTAAAAAATAAAGGGCACCGTGCAAAAAATTATAAAATGTACTTGACAGTATGATAAGAATTTTGTAATTTTATGTGATTAATAATATAATTTATCATTTTCTCTTAATTTTTGTATTAACGCACATTTTTATTTTTGTTTTTTCCTTCAAACCGCACACTCTAATTCTGATATCTTCTTGGTAGTCCGCAAAGGTAAGATTATTTATAGGAAGTATACATTATATTATACTGTACTCGGGGTGTTGTGGTGATTCATAAATCTTTGTAATGTATTGAGTATCATAAATGCATGTTTTTAACAACGACGCATGTCAAGCATATCGACAACATGCTTTAATGTAATTATCATGATTGTTTATCCACGTGATCCTTTTAAGCTACTATATACTGTATAAATATATATATATATATATATATATATTTATTTATTTATTTATACTTAAGTTATCGAAATACTGAATAATTTAGGAAAAATAAAAACCTTACTTTTTTATGATATACGATAACGCATGTTTTTAATAATAAATTATTTGCTAACATTTAAACTTAAGCATGTATTTCGTTTTCACGTTTTTCTTCTCTAAACATCATTCATCACACTAATCTACAGATTCATTGAGGATAAGACACTCATTTTCTCTTAAAATAACTAGAATTTTGTTGTTGTTTTTTAAAAATATTTTTGGATAATTACTTTTAAAGTTATTATAGTGTAAAATTTAGTACCGGAGAAAGGGTGGAGTGTAGTATTTTTTTTTTTTTTTTGCTGCGCACGTTAATTTACTGCACTTCACATCCCATTTTAAATTTTAAACTTCAGTAACTTTAAAATAATTATCTAAAATTGGTTATCGACTAGTTAAAACCTTTAGCATATTATTCTTAATTTAAAAAATTCAAATAAATATATACGTTACCACTTAAGTTTTAAAAGTTACTAGATCTCTGAAAAAAAGATGAAAATTTAAATATTGACTATTTTTGTAAAATGACTAAAGCGAAAATATATCCCAAAATAAACTAAATTGCAAATTTTTTAAGTGAAAAAATTATTCATAATGAATCACCATGTATTCTTTAAATTTTTCATTTTTAACTATTGGGTTGTTTCAACTACAAATAAATTAATAAGTATCGATTTATGTGTTACGGTTGTATTTTTATGTCGGTATACACAGCTCAACATGAATTCCTGATTTTCATTGATTTCCCAGCAGCAACTTTTCTAAGTCATATTCACATATCATATTATGTTTGTTTACATTTATTTCACGTTTGTATCATACGTTCATTTGTTTACCACTGATTTACATAATGTCGATGGTTAATTGTCAAAGTACTTCAGTTTTTCTTTTCTTTGTTTTTAATATTTATAATTTTGGGTTGTGCGCATGGTTTTTACTCTCGGCCTCGGGTCTGTCCTATGACCATAATAATTGTTTAGAATTGGGTAACAAAGTGTTTTTTTTTTAATGTTTTTATTGTAGACAGAGAAGTAGTTTTCCAATGTCGGGACGAAGGCCCCTTGAGGGCTCCAGTCCGATGGACGCGTGGCAACGGACTGTACTTACCACCTGGATCTAAAGACATCAAAGGTCGATTGGAAATGCCCAACATCAAGGCAAGCGCAAAATGACGGTTTTTGAACTCTGACATAATTGATTTAATCTGACGAATTCGTATTTTTACAGGTCGAACACAGTGGCACATACATATGTGAAGCAATCGGTTTCTCTGCATCAGATCCGGGAGCTCGCGTATCCGTCTACCTCAACGTAGAACCATGTAAGTTTTAATATAATAACTAACCGATTACTTTTCGCTGTTGAACTAAATATGAATTATTAAAATACCTACTACTTGCTAACTCAAAAATAAAATATTCTCAAAAACGAACATCCTCAAAGTGTAATCTGGTACCAGACTTAAAAGATACCTACTGGATAATAACTTTACTAACTAACCTAACGTTTCTTGTAAAACTAAAATTTTGAGTGTTTTCGTCTATTCCAATCCCAAAGTTTTTTTAATTACACTCAGTGGATTAAATAACTACGCCGAGGGTCTCTGGAAGTACACCAATTTTATCTGTAACGCGTTTCCTCACCTGAAATTTATTGCATCACACCAGGGGTCCTTTGGTACTCCGCATGTACTGTGACTATTTTCAAATGTCATTTCTAGTATATTATGTAGTGGATAGCATGATATAATCTCGAATTTGCTGTAGATGACGTTTATTACATACGAATAATTCAGGAAAGAGAATATAAGAACAACCACTACAGAAAAATATAATTATTGTATATACAAGGTGAACATTTTATTGTGACCCTCTCATATCTCATAGCATTTAATATTAAAATTAATTAATTTTTTTTATAATGTTTTTATTCAATGTGATATCAATTTTTACAATTTTTTTTTTTGTTTTTACCTCCCTCCCAACTTATTTTTTTTAAATTAGCTTTTGAAACTTAAATGACACCGCATACATTTCACTAACTTTTTTAATTGAAAATAATGTACTAAAAATGTTGACTGGTTGATTACCAGTTTTAAATAACTATTTTAGAAGTTATTGTAGTTACAAGTTTAGGACAGGAGGAAAAATAGAGTATTATTTTTATTACTCTCATCATAACTTTTAAACTCTTATAACATTAAAAACAGTTATCCAAAACCGGTAATTAACCAGTCAAAATTTTTATTACATTATTTTAATTTTTAAAAGTTAATGAAATGTATGCGTTACCATTTAAGTTTCAAAAAAAAAAAGGATAGCGTTATGGAAAATACTATGCACAATAACAAAAAGAAAAATGTTTTCAAAAAGGAAAACTTTTAAATTGTAATTTTTTCCTGAAAAATGAGATTCTTCTTTAAATGGTATGTTAGGAAAATACACGGCTAGCAGTCGAAACGTTAAGATCAAAGTTTCTATCAAAAATCTAATTTAGGATCACATTGTATAAATAAAAATTAAATTTGTTATTAAACTCTATGAGATATTGAGTGGTTCATGATAAAATGATCACCTGTATTATGGAAATCTGTTGGATAATAACTGAAAATAACCTTATATTATACACATATTTATAAGCTGCACGGAAAATGAAACCTAAAAAACCCGCTATAAGCGAAAGATGGAAATTCGGGTTGCATTCAATGGGCAATATCGATTTTCACTCAGGTATGTGTGGTAAAGTCACGTAGTTGTTCTTCAGAAGAAAAATAAACGTATAACTCTTAATTATAATTGTTTTTTTTTTTTGCTGTTCGTACGGTAATAATGTAAGTATAACCCTTAATTATGAGGGTTTTTTTTTAACCAATTATTAATTTTTTTTATAAATTATAATATATTATATAAATGTATATTTGGTCATTTGTGTTGGGAATTGTTCAATCAGTATATAATTAAACTAATTAGTTTTTTTTTTTACACACAGGGGTTGATCCTACTGTTCGTCCTCCGACAGTCTGTGGAATTAACGAAGCCACTTGTTCGAACAAACAGTGTATTTCAAAAAATAAAGTTTGCGACGGTCACGTGGACTGCGAGGATGGCTCTGACGAGACCCGTTGCAGTAAGTCCACAGACGATAAACGTGCAGGACCAATTAGTTAATTTGATTAAATTTTGTCCGTCTGCTTGTTCAGATATGTTCGGTTGTCAGCCCAACGAATTCCGCTGCAGCAACAAGAAGTGTATTCTGAAGACATGGGTGTGCGACGGACAAGACGACTGTGGAGACAACTTCGACGAACAAAACTGCGCACAAAAGAGATCAGGTATAGTTGTTAACAGTTCCGCGGCCTTTAGTAAATTGCACTCGCGTTAATCGCGCATGTGTGTTCTACAGACTCCCACTGCATGATCAGCGAATTCGAGTGCAGGAACAAAGAATGCATTCCCAGTTCATTCCAGTGCGACTCACAATCCGACTGTTCTGACGGAAGTGACGAATTCGGTTGCCGTAAGTGCTGTACAACACACAAACCATGTGGACTATATTTGATGTATGTGCGCTCCGCTCGGCTTTTGTAGGTCCTGTGCAATTCGTAACTAATCCGCCGCCGATGGTCACTGTAGACGTCGGAGCTGTGTTCGTTACCACGTGCAAAGCGATCGGTGTGCCTGTACCGGAAATTTCGTGGCGTCTCAACTGGGGTCACGTACCTTCCAAGTGCTTGATGACCAGTGTAGGTGGTTACGGTACACTCACTTGCCCGGACATCCAAGTACGTCCCCGGGTCGTCGCCGTATTGTTTTAACATTTAAAAAATCTAAAAGACTAACTGATTTTTCGCCGGTTTACAGGAAGCCGACCAAGGCGCGTACAGCTGCGAGGCTATCAATATCCACGGGTCAGAAATAACAAAGCCCGACACAATTCTGGCGGTTAAACCACCTCCTCCGTCGCCAAACTTGTCATGCCCCAGAGGAACGTTCAACGATGTCGCTTTGAACCAGAACGATTGCATTAATTGCTTTTGTTTCGGCATATCGTCCAACTGTAGGAGTTCTAAACTGTTTAAAATTCAGGTACATTTTTCCAATCGTGTTGCCCCAAAGAGTATTCAAACATTTTGTCAGCGAGAAATGGCCAAAAGTAGTAGACAGGGCCGTCTATCGATCTGTAATCCAAAGCGATTGTTACTATAGTGGGTCAAAAGTAAAAAAAGTCAACTCATTCACTCTCAAAACCGAGAAAATCCGATAAACAATTTTGAGATTTCAACCTTTAATTTTAACTTGCTATAACTTGGCGAAAAACAGACGGACCGAGTAAAAAATTATATTTGATATTTATTATCTTTATCTCCAAAATGACTCAACCCCGATTTCCGACTACCTCCGCCTGGAGTTGGAAGTTTTTTGGTTTTATTTTTAATTTTGTTATATTTTATTGTTAATACTTGCATTACAATTACGGTATATTGGTCAAATCTGATTATAATAATTTGTTGATTATTATAATCAGACGATCGACCCTCATCGTTTTGACTCTAGTACTAAAAATACAGCTTCAACTACATTTTGCTTTTGAATGTATAAATTATATCTCCCGCCCTATAACCTCCGGTCTTAATATGCCCCGACTCCACTGTCGACGAGCCCAATGTTTGTCTTATCAGTGCGTAAAGAGAGGGAGCAAGCTCGCAGTCCCATTCGGAAACTCTCAAAACGTCCTGGTGACGTGAGTCACCATGCATTTGTATTGACAAACCAATTTGTTTCTAGAACAAACCGTTTATAAACCAATTCAGAGTGGTTCCCGTTCACGTGGAACCGTCCACCTTGAACATCCAGCTGGAAACCGGTAATCTTCCTGCGTACCAGACAAATCCCAATCGAAACGAAGCGTTGCAAGTGTTCGCTGCCGGCGATGTGTCGTCTAGGACCGAAAACACTTATCCGTACTTCAAATTCCCAGACGGTTACTTGGGCAATCAACTCAAATCGTACGGAGGACAAATAACTTACACGATCAGATACGAAGGAAGTGGAGACGCGATTAAGTTTGTTCCGGATATTATCTTAATCGTAAGTGTGAATGGAATGAATACATTTCAAAACCACTTTTCTCGTGAACTATAATTTCTTATTACCCGATACCGTTTAATTTAGGGAAACGGCTACACGCTTATATATTTTGCACAAGAGATACCGGTAGGCGTGGATACGGTAGTATCGGCTAAGTTGACTGCATATATTTGGCAAAAAGCAACCAGCGACTACAAAAAAACCAGTCCCGCCAGCAGAGAGGAAATAATGATGGCACTGGCAAACGTAGAACATATTTTGATTAGGTAACAATTTTTTTTTTTACATCAAAACTATTGCAGATTACTTTATAACTTTCAGAGTTGGACAACATTCGGATTTACCAAACCCAAAGTTTTTAATACAGGATTTTGAAAATCTACACCTTTTTTTCTACTTAAATGTACTATTTTAAGGCGGTTTCAATTGGGATTTTCAGAACCTTTATTTTACAATATTTACCAGCTCTGTTTATTGTTTAAATGCAAAGCAACCTTTTTTATGTTAAGGGGTCAATACATAGGCCAACAATCCGAAACGAACATAAAAAATATCAAAATGGACTCGGCACAAACACAGTTTAGTTCAAACGAACACGTGGCGTTTATTGAAGAATGTCAGTGCCCCGCTGGTTACACCGGACTTTCATGTGAAGTTAGTAAATTTATATTTTACTTTATGCTTAATTATTCAGTTACTCTATTAACATCATTTTGCGTTCGTTTCTTAGAGTTGTGCGCCTGGGTACGTACGCATACAACAAGGCCCGTGGTTGGGACAGTGTTTCAAAGAAGACCCAGTGTGTGCGACAGGAACTTATGGCGACCCGTTAAGAGGCATACCGTGTAGAGCTTGCCCTTGCCCATTGACATCACCCGGCAATCAGTATGACACGATGCTTTTAGAAACGTTTAATCTTATGCATGGAAAATCAATAAGCTATGTTTCCTTACTAGATTCGGCAGAAACTGTTACTTGGACACGGACGGACAACCTACATGCAACTGTATCGACGGATATGTCGGACGCAGATGTGACCAGTGCGCCACTGGGTATTCAGGCAACCCATTACTGCCCGGAGACTCTTGCAAACAAGGTTTGATTTGGTCAATGCTTTAATTTTACCTTCAAATAGAAAACTGACAAAGTATATTCATTTCAGGCGTGTGTGATATCGGTGGGTCGGTATCGCCATTCCCCGACCAGACTAATGGAAAATGCATATGCAAGGTAAGTTTTTCCAAATGTACACTTCTGTCACCGGTGTGTAGCTATAACTGTTTACTAATTATATTATTTTAACATTGCTTCCTCTTAAACACTTGACGTTTACGGTAAGCATAACCGGTTTGACTTAATTACAATAATGTGTACCATCGATTAGTACGACGCATTTAAACCGACTTTCGTATTAACGAAAAACCTAATTTCAATTATTTCGTGTACAGGAATATGCAACTGGTAATTTGTGTAATCAATGTAAGGCTAACACGTTTAACATAGCGCCAGAAAATCAGTTCGGATGCATCAGTTGCTTCTGTATGGGAATAACAAATCAATGTTCCAGCTCCAGGCTATACCGACAACAAGTAATTAATACTTATAATATCTGAGTCTACGCAAGGCTAGGCAATAACTAAAGTTACAAAAATCAAAAACCTTACTTGTACTTGTGTTTCTTTTTAAAAATTACTTAATAAGCTAATTTACCATTATTAGTTATAAACCCTCAAAGTACTTATCAGTCCCGTGGTCGTCCAGAGGAATCTATGCTGGGAAACTAATGACACCAAATGAACACCTATGAAGTCTCTTATTTTCTCTAAATGTCCTAAAAGACCCCGATGGTTGTTCCTGTTATATAGGATTGAACACATAAATTAATTTAGTAAATTGAATACTAAGTAGATAATATTCAGGTATATCTATATCTTCAGTACTATAATGCGATACTGTTTATTAAAGACAGCGAAACAGTGACTATCGCTTTGAAGATGGACTCTGTAACGTCAGCGAAAACCCGAAGACAAATATACAGATATTTTAATCCTTGAAAAGTTTAACAAATTCAAATTGAATATTATTGGCACATGTATAAATACATTTATAAATTGAGAACAATACATTTTCCTATAGAGGGTTTGCTCGGGGGTCAAGGGGAACAAGAAAAGTTATTTATTAGTGGACAAAGGATAGGCAATATTTCACAAAAATAATCTAGGAGCCATTTTAAATATGCCAACTAATTTTAAAGTAAATAAATATGAACGTTCTCAAGTAACAAATATTAAACTTGATAAAAAAAAAAAAAATGAAATCAGTTCGGTAAACACCTTGGAAAGTGACTTCTTGTTATAGTCTTTATTTTATACAACTTGACTCTTTCCATTCTCATTCAAGTAAAGAACTGTCAAGTTACTTATTTTTTTACGTGTAGTAATTTAATTGGTGAGTTACTGAAACGAAGTGCATTGTCCAGCTTTGCGTTTCAAATACATATTGTTTTTTCTCTATTAAACTCTTACCGATGAATAGATAACCACAACGTTTGTGAAGTCCAACCAAGACGTGAAGTTAGTCGAACGGGCCACGCACTGGAATCCGTTACCCAGTCCGACCATCGACAGCAACGCCACGGAAATAGTCTACACTGACTTTACTCCTGGAAATCAAGATGTAAGTTGCAATTTTGTCGGAAGGGTATACCTCAACTAGTGATTTTTATGATATCGCCTTAGGTATTTTATTGGACTTTACCACCACGTTTCCTCGGTGACAAAATCACATCGTACGGTGGCTCTCTCAGTTACGCCTTAAGACACGTGCCGGTACCCGGTGGCCAGTCGTCGAGAAATAGCGCACCCGACATTGAACTTATAAGTGTAAGACACCGGAAAATACTTTTCCGATTCACCAGCATAGTGCTTCAACATCGTGACTCGTTATTTATTGCAGGACAACAAAATCCGATTGCTGCACTACGGCCGCGAGTACGTAGAGCCGAACACCATGAAATCCATATCTGTGAAACTGTTAGAACAATACTGGCAACGACCCGATGGCCAAGTCACCAACCGCGAGCACTTGCTGATGGCATTGGCCGGACTCAAGTACATACTGATCAAGGCATCCTACACCACCGGCGTCAGAGAAGTGGCGTATGTATTTTATTTGGTATCGTTCAATATTTCATTAAAGGCAGGCGCGTGGTGAATTGAGATAAGGCGGCCGTATACAAACGCATGGTCTCCGGTTCTAATCTCGGCCACTTGCGGTTTGTTCCTCCGGACGGGCAACTGTCTGGGGGAGAAATAGCCACCAGCACCTCTCTCTGGGGCCAACTCGTTTGGTAGCGTTAGGTCGGCGGCAGCCAGACATAAGCCCAAAAAGTGTCAAATCTAAACCGTCAAACGAGTGAGATATAGAATCTGTAATGAGATTTGGCCGCTTTCACCAAAGCTAACCCGTGTGTACATATTACAAGACCTGGGTAATAATCTGTTATTGTCTTATATTGTTTCAGGTTACATCGAGTATCGCTAGACACTGCCGACTCGTACAACACCGGACAAAATCGTGCAGTGGAAGTTGAAGAATGCGTTTGCCCGGAGGGATACAAAGGCTTGTCGTGTGAAGACTGCGACGTAGGATTCACTAGAAACGGACAAGGACTCTATTTGGGTATTTGCGAACCGTGCACTTGTAACGGTAACTCAAATCATTGTGACCCCGACACGGGCGTTTGTGTGAACTGTCAAAACCATTCTACTGGCGACGAGTGCAATGAATGTTTACCCGGGTACAGTGGAAATCCGGCAAAGGGCGAACCGTGTATGGCCAAAAACCTGACCGAAGGTTGTGAATGTGACCCCAGAGGTACAATGTTACCGTGCCGCGACAACAAATGCATTTGCAAAGTATGCCACCCGCTCTTTACTCCTAGCGATTGCCTATATTCTACAAAGATAACATTGTATTATTGCTTTTAGACCAACGTAGAAGGATCACGTTGTAGCCATTGTCGACCGGGCACCTACGACCTGTCCGAGAAGAACATAGAAGGCTGTTTAGAATGTTTCTGTTCAGGTGTTTCCTCGGACTGTTTCCCGTCGAATTTGTTCGTCACCCAAATACCTATGCAACTTCTTGGACAAAGTCACGGTTTTACCTTGACCGACAGGTACGTACACGGTCACCGGGGATTATTATACTTAGATGACCTTTGGTTGACCAACTTTTTTATTTGAACCTCAACAGGAGCAGAAGTCGATTTATCAAAACCGGATTTACAATCGACTTGGCCAAAAACGAAATCGGATACGATTACACGCCTAACCGCGGTGAACAACTGTTTTGGTCTCTACCATCTTCGTTCACCGGGAATAAGGTTAGCCTTATTATTCGCAGCATTTTGTCAGAAAAAATTGAAAATCATATATAGAGTTTTATTTACTGGTTGTCCAACAACCAAATTAAAGTGGTAATAGAAAATGAAAACAAATCTCGACGTATAACCTGTATATAGCTCTATAAGCGCGCGATAATACGACTGCGACAATAAAATGCGCGATTTGTGCGCATACATTCGCCATAATCTGATTTCCCTTAGTTTCTCTTCTTTTTCATAATGGGTTTTCATGTCTTTTTTTTTTAAAGGTGCAAAAGTAAAAATATATTTTATGTTAAGCTACAGAGGAAAGACTAATAATAAGGTTAGAGATTGTTGACAGTGGTGTAAGAATGTGGATGTTTGCGTTTAACCCATTTAAGTACGAAGTCGGAAAGCTATGGGATGACCCACTTCTAATAATTAAAATACAATCTAATCGTTTACGAATTCGTGTTTCTAGGTAACATCGTACGGAGGCTATCTTAATTGGACTCAACGGTATACGACTCTTCCGGCGTCCATTGTACGCAACGACACTGACATAGTTTTAATCGGAAACGGCATTTGGCTGTACAAAAACAACGAAAAGAACATTCAACCAGATGAACCAACGGTAAGTTCTCAGTAAAAAATTGGGGGAGAACTTTGAAAGTTAAGTTTTGGATTTTCCAATTGACACATACTTGTCTACCGTTTTCAGACGTTGAGCGCTCATCTGGTGGAAAAGGGTTGGCGTCGGTTGATTTCGTCAGGTCCCAAATCTGCATCCAGAGCGGAATTCATGAAAGTCCTCTCGTCCATTGAAGCCATTCTCATCAGGGCCATACACGCTTCGCAGACCATCGGCACGTACCTCAGCGACGTCAGCTTGGACACTGCCATCGAGATAGGCTCTGAAGTCGGCGGCGAAAGGTCTACCGCCGTTGAGATTTGCAGGTGTCCGACCGGCTACAGAGGAACGTCTTGCGAGGTAAACGCTAGAAAGCGATGAAATCCAAAATCGTTCAGTATCCACTGAAACCTGACACCTGACCTGACCACGTTTTTCGGCGTTATCGTTTTAGATTTGCAGTTCCGGTTACTACAAGGACGGCGATGAAAAATGCACGAGATGTCCTTGCAATTCCAACGAAGAGAGCTGTTCTCTTGGCCCGGACTCCAGAGTGGTCTGTAACTGTCTGCCGGGATTCACCGGAAACAACTGTAATCTTTTAGGTATGCAAAATGCGTATTGCACACGAGATCTCGGTTATCTCGGTAACCGGTCTCGAGGTTAGATCATTTTAAATGTATTTTGTCTAATGTGATAACATTCTGTATTTCGACGGACCCGTACGGAAAAACATTTTCATTTTTGTACAAACAGGTGTATACAAAAATAACACGAAAACGACGTATAGACATTTTGGTATTTTTTTTATTGTATTTCAGTAAACAAACGGAACTCGAGTAGTTTAGTAACTGGTACGATGATTAAGCTTGTACCGACTCATAGCATAGCGGAACCCGTAGGGACCATTGTAAATTTCACGTGTAGCTATGATAGCGTCGTGCCGATGGAGATACACATTCAGGAACGATACGCCGACATGTTGTTGAATGATAACAATTTGTTGACCGATAGCCAGTATGGGCCTTATATTAATTTTACAAACGGCGCCTCCCGAGAATTTTCGGTGCTCGTTAAGCCGCACATGTCCTCGGTAACGTGTAGCATTCGCGACAGCTATAACAACGAACTGGGGCAGATTTCCACAATAATTGAACCAAACAACACAGGTGCTACAGATGTATTATAGAAATTTAAAAAAAAAATTTGGGATGTATGTTAAGCCTTTTGGGTGTTCTGTCTGTTTTCGTCTGTCCACCATAAGCGCCAACCAAGTGGTGCCTACTATTGCAAACTATGACAAGCCAAACCGAACATTAATGAAATACAATTACCCTTTGGTTTCGACTAATATTATTTCCTATATTAAATTATAACTGTACGCTGCAAATGAATACTACAATTGATTTTTGAACACAACCGGAGCGAATCGCCACTAACTATATTATAATACGCTTTCATTAAAATACATCTGTTAAATGTAGACTTTTATACATACAGAAAAGAGCTTTCATTCTCATAGAAATAGATAGACTTATTCTTGACCGTCAAATTAAGAAACGCGTCTTTTTCAGTCTTTATTGACCATTCAATTATGTAAAATCATTATTCCTCTATTATTATTCTTCTTCTTGGGTTTATTGGGCCTTTAAGACCACCCCGTCTCACAACTAAGCTTCCATCCTTCTCTGTCCAACGCTATATTTCTCCAATTGGAACCACCTCCCATCTGGTTCAACATCCTTTTTTATGACATCTTCCCAGCGCATTCTTGGTCTTCCCAAAGGTCTTTTACCTACAGGATTTTGTTCAATCACTGCACGTAGTAGCGGATTTTGGTTCCTCCAAGCATGGCCAGCCCACCGTAGTCTTCCTCTTCTGATAACCATCAATATGTCCGAACCACTATATAATGCTTCCAGCTCTATATTCTTTCTTCGCCTCCACTCCCCAGTTATTTCATCCTTGACTGGGCCATACACTTTCCGCATCACTTTTCTTTCAAAGACAATGAATCTATTTTCGTCCATTTTTCTAAGTGGCCATGATTCTGATCCATACAATTTAACAGGTCGTATCAGGGTCGTGTATAATCTTCTGTTATTCTATGATCTATAAAAATAAGATTTATCAAAACCCTGCTAAAGACCTTATGAAACTTTATTATTTATAATAAAGTATGATTTCAACTTTGTTTAGCTGATACTTCAAATTCACACCTAAATATTAATAGAGTGTAAACTTAATTCCTTAAAATTTTACTGCACATTTTAAATTAAACATTTTTTTTAATTTTAAAAACAACCATAAGTAGTTTTTGGTTGGTTTTAATGTAAAAAATTATGCTAACAGGTTTTTTTGTTTTCGATATTTTTTTAAGTACCTTATTATGTTTGGTTTCGCCAGTTAATTTACAAATTTAGTATAGTTTAAGTATACTAAAATTATAGGCTAAACTATACTATAAGTGAAACTGGTAAGAACTGTCATTAATTAAAATAATTGTTCAAGTTTCAGGACAACCAAAAACACCCAAATAACAAACTTTTGATAGTACACTAATACTTGTATATTATTTAACAATGGGACAAATTACTTAACGCTAAAAATCAAATTATCTCTATGTTTGGTGTCAATTAGCAAGCTAATGCCGGGTTGTATAAACATTCACTAAATGTTTAATGAACCAACAGATGTTAAGTGGTTCCTTAAACATAATTAAGTGGCCCGTGATTGGTCCATTAAATTTTAATGAACCATTCAATTTATTAATTCTTTATGCAACCCAGCATAAGTTTTTTAGTCAACTTTTAAGTACTTAAGTTTTGGGATTCTTGCTTCTTACTTTGTCCTATAAGCATTCGAAAATAAGTAAATAAAAGTTGAGGAATAACTTCCTTTAAGGGTTTTGACGTACAGACTGGGGAAGAATGAAGAAAACAAACCCTAATAACAGAAAAGAAAAGAAACAGTAGCAATAATGTGTTTTACAAAGACATTATTTAGTTTAGCTTTTGTAATAAAACAAATATTAATGAAGGTTTGTTCAACAACACCAAGTTATTTTTTTTTTAAATATTTATTAAATTTACTACTACTACTTTACTTACTACTTCACGACTACTCTATTGACTAAAATGTGTCCTTTACTACTACAATTATTTTATTGTTCTATTCGGACGGTAACTTATAGCTAAATTCATAACCAGCTTCAAGGAGAAATTGTTGGATTTACTTACTAATAATTCAAGCTAGAATTAATTGTGTAATATGATTAAATATTTTAGATACCGGAGACCAATCCGAAACGTCGACCTCGACTACCAGACAACCACCGCCACTTCCAACACCAGAAATTTACGTACAAGTCACTGAACCTAAATTTGAAATTACCCAAATAGGCAGTTCCGTTACATTTATTTGCACCGCTCACTCTCGTCGTGCATCGGTATTTACACTAACTACATATATACATTTTTTTTTTAAATTAACTAAAAATCGTATTTATTGCAGTCGGTTAACATAACATGGTCGAGAGAAAACGGGCAACTTCCACCTAGACGGTCTCAGGATTCTGGAACTGGTTATTTACAATTAGTAAACGTGATACCATCCGATTCCGGTACTTACATTTGTACAGCCACTGATGGTTATACGACTTTTACCGACAAAAAAATTCTCAGCGTCAATGTAGCAGGTAATCAAATAATTTCATTAAAATAAAGCAAATTAGTTTCTAGTAAATCTATATTGGATTCGCTAATTATTCCCACACAAAAAAACAAACAGAAAAAAACAGTACTTTCACAGCACAGTATTAAAGCTAAAAATATATAATCGCACTTTGTACGAACGAATAGTTATGATTACGAATATGATTTAATTAAATTTCCACTTAGTTATTTACTTATGAATGTACTTACAATTAGTACAAAAGTCAAATTTTTGAAAAACGTTTTCCCAATTTTGGGGATAAGGAAGTTGACCTTTTCTACTTTTGACCCACCAAAGTACCAATCGCATACAATTTGGTATGTATAAAGGTGCTACTCGAGTAAATCGGTTCAGAGGAAAAAATGTAATGGTCTTTACAGACACAAATAACAACAAATACACGTCATTATAAAACCGATAACTTCTCAGCTTCGCATCAAACCTATAATAATAACTAACTTTTATAGAACAAAGTGTCTATTTAATAAGAGTTGGACCATACAAATTTTAGTTTTCACAAAAAATGTATGTCTAGTACAAAATATTTGACGTATAAGTTTAATCTGAATGAAAAAAAAAAAATTAAAAACCATAATTAATTAAAAAACGGATATCGTATCTCCTCATTAATCAATAACAGGAAAAAATGTAAAAAAAATAATAATAATTAAGTAAGAAATATTTTGTATAGAAAAAACGTATGCAACACTTGTGGTCATACATATTACAGAAATAAAATAATAATAAAATATTTTTAAAAAACCTTAACCCTTTAAGTAAATAAGTTTAAATTATTCTTATCCGATTACGGGTTTAAAATAAAAAAATAATTTCCGATTCTACTTTAGTTTTCCTATATTAAATGTTTTAGTAAGCCCGACTACAAGACCAACAGGACAGTCGGACATTTACATATCCGTATCCGATCCGCCAATCGAAATCGTTGAAGTCGGTGGCACTGTAAGGTTTTCTTGTGTTGGCAGATCTCGACACACTCAGGTAACAATGTCGGTAGATTTATAACTTGAAATTTCACAGCACTGTTGTTGTTCTTAACGGTGATGTATTATGAATACCAAGTTTTATTTCATTAGCCGCTACGTCTAGAATTTGTTGATATCTTTAATATTGGTTCAGAATTTTACTATTGCGTTATCAAATCGCTTTCTGTTGTTCCGTTTCAACCGTCGAGTTAATATTTAAAATGTCTGTGCAGAACGTGCTTTTAAAATGGTCCAAGGAAGGAGGATATCTACCGTCCAACAGAGTGGTTGACAGTGGTTCTGGATATTTGACCATTACCAACGCAGTCCCCTCCGATTCCGGGGTGTACATTTGTACGGCCTCTGACGGATATTCGTCAATCAGCGAAAAGAAAACAGTCGCCGTTGGAGGTAATTAGTCTGACTTAACGTTGTTAACAAAATGTATTTAAATAAGTTGTATGTTTCACGCTAACACCATAGAATTTCATCGGAATTATAATACGTCTGGTAAAAAATATTATAACATGTCCAAACGAATTTGATTTGCTTTTAGCTCGTTATTACAATATTGAAATGTCTTATGTCTAATTATTAATGAATGTCTTGTACGGGGATTAGGTGCAAGTGTGATTAAGCCCAAAGTGACGATCACGCCGAAATACCTCGAACTGTACTTGGGTGATCCCGCTGAATTCGCATGCCAGTCTCCAGGATTTTCAACCTTAGAATGGTCTAGAGATTTAAATAAGCCGTTCAACCCATCCGTAAGATTCGAAAGAGTTTGAAATCAATAATAGCAAAAACTAATTTTTGTTTATTATTTTAAGTATTCTTCATCTGACGGCGTGTTCCGTATATCAGCAGTCCAGCAATCAGACCAGGGCACTTACTACTGTAGAGCTACCAATCAGAACGGCGAGACTGACTCACAAAGAGCTTTAATCTACATTAAAGGTAATAATAGTGTTTAATTCCTAAATTGTTGTATAATGATACTGAACAATTCGCAAGTTAATAGTAGACAAGAGTACTATAGGTATTAGTAAAAAATCTAAGGACAGAACCCAGAGAAGTTATTGTACTTTGAGGATAAAAAATAGGGTTGAATATTTAAGATCGATTATGGAAGAGAGTTGAGAAATTGAAGAAGTTGCAAGAAATACAAAATATGATACGAGGAGGAGGAAGGAAACAACAACAAGAAGAGAAAATGCCGTTGTTTATAATAAAAAAGAGCATTTTGAAAAAGGTCTATCATTTTATGTTGAAAAGTTGAGTTAAAAATTACAGTTGTTGCAAAAAAAATTATAAGAGAAAAACTGTATATATATATATATGAGATAATTTAGAAAAATATATTAGGAAGAAAGAGGGAAATAAATTGTGAAATAGAGTGAGAAAAGCAAGTTTAGAGGAACTCGAAGAAATTATGCCATTTATGAAAATAATGGCGGAAAAACCCAATGAAGAAAAAAACCTGATACTTTAGTTGCATAAGACGAAGATGATTTAACAATTGAACAATTGAAGTGGAAAAATATGGAAATTCCAAAAATACAAAAACTAAACTGAGATAATTTAGTTTGATTGTGTTGAGGAATATTATCCCTTTTCCACTTAAAATCTGCTGCTCAATATTATATATAAAAATATATATAAAATACATATATATATATATAAAAAACAAATTATTTTGTGTTTACAGCGCCCGTAAGTACAAATACCACCGAACCTTCTGATTTACTAGCATTGACAATCGACCCGCCGCAATATTCTGGCCCGGGCGATGAAGTGCGTTTGCTGTGTACTATATCGGATGAATCGAATTATGTAATCAAATGGACACGAGCTGGTGGTCTGCCACTGCCTTATGGATCCACACAATCTGGCGGTCAATTGCTTTTGCGCAATTTAAGACCTTATGACGCTGGATTGTATGTGTGTTCGGCCATGTCGTTGAGAACTGGTGCGATAGAATCCGAAGTCCAAGCAACAGTCAATCTCGTGACCGCCAAGTATGACCTCAAAGCCATTACAACCAGTACCTACAGCCGAGCTAACGTTTAATTATTTTGTTTAGGAGTCCACCGACGTTGCGTGTTGATCCGGAAAGACAAAAGGTTGCACAAGGTACCCCCGCTGAATTCCGTTGTCTTTCGACTAACGATCCAAACATTCAAGTACAATGGTCCAAAGTCGGGGAAAAAGAGGATTTATCTCCTAATGCTCAGGTAAGTACGCTAATAGGAAATCAGGTTGACCTACAGTTATACGGAATATAAAAAAAAAAATTAAATATTGGAAACATACAACTATACTGATGCGCACATGACCTTAAAAATAGATATTCGGCTCGACTCTAAGGATCCCGTCCGCACAAGTCAGAGACCGCGGTGTTTACCTGTGTAAAGCGACCAACGAAGCCGGAACATCACAAGTGTCCACGGTCCTCGATATCGATCGTAATGTGCTTTATCGCTATGTTGTTCGGATAACGTATTAATAATTGAAATTTACATCGTTTTCAGGAAGAGAACCTCCTATCATCGAATTGTATCCAAACGCTAGACAGACCGTTACTATTGGTGGCAGCGTTTTGTTCCAATGCCGCGCGATTAGTGGAATACCTACTCCCGAAATCAAATGGACCAGACGTAACAATCAAACCTTACCGAGTCAAGTAGAACTGTTGAAGGGCGGCGTTTTGAGGTACGACCACTGACAATATTGCAGTGCCGAAATCAATTTCCATTCTAAACGTTTCACCATCGATGTTCTAGAATTAGCGGAATGGAAGCATCAAGTGCTGGCGAATATGTGTGCGAGGCATGGAACAACGCCGGTATGACGTCGGCCACCGCCATCCTCGAAGTCCAGTCTGCACCAGAAATTACACTGAGGCCATCACGAGATGTCACGGTAATGCCGGGCAAATCTGTGAGGTTGGAATGCTTGGCTACGGGAAGCCCGCTACCTAGTGTCACCTGGACGAAAATCGAGTCAGTTTCGGATAGCTTGAACGCGTAAGTACACACAATATACGAATTACGCAGGGTTGTCACAACATCTGAATAAAACCCTCAATGTTTGTTTAAAATTATTGTTTTTAACGTAGACTAAGTTTTTATTATGATACTTAAAAGAAAACAGCGGATAAGATACACGGTTGTGATGAGAAAGAGATTTTATTATTGTAATAAGAATGTTCATAAAAATTAAAAACATAAGGACAATATTACATTCTATGTTTTATAATTAACCATACGTGTGTAGCTGCTATTTTTTCATTTTTTGCTACAGTGTCTTAGCTAAGAAAGGACACCAGAGGTACATGTCCGAATTATTTGTTTTTATATTATAGGTACTATAAGCACTCAAAATGTTGTATTACCAAAATGTTATTAAAATGTATACTATCCTTTTAATCTTTAATAACTAGTGACCCCCCCCCCCCCCCACACAAAAAATATATATATCTGGCTACGATACTGCTTTGCTACTTCCTTCAGCTACTTAGATTTTTAGAATGGATAGGCTCTCAGCCTTTACTAAGTACTGTCTCATAAAATCTCTTTAATACATTAGCTATTATTTTGAATCGTTCTCATTTAAATCATTGGAACTATTTCTATGTCTCTATTTTGTTTTCTCTATTCTCTTTTATCCATTTTAGTTAGATTAAATACAGTACCAATTCGAACATTGCTCGGTTAAAAAATGTATTACTGATTTCTCACATGTGTAAAGGCCCATTTACACGATGATAGAAAACGTGATAGTTGCTGTCACAATAGTAGCTATTGCCATAGTGATAGTAAAACTCTAAACGTGTAAACAGCTATGATAGTACCTATCGCACTATCGCAAGAGTACTCTCATCGTGTAAATAGGTATAATTATTTCTAGCCAATATCAAACAATATTTTATGTATTTGTAATTAATTTTCGCGTAAATATTTACTATTAATAGCACTGTAAATTTACAAATATATACACAATTATTGCTTACGTTACATTAAATAAAAGATTAATAATTACTAATAATATTGTAGATATAAAAATAATATTAATCACCTATGTAGGGCCAGAAGCGAGTCGACACTGAGTAGTAACGCTTTGTTCGAAATAAACAATGCTCAGCTGTCAGACGCTGGAATATACTCTTGCCTAGCTCAAAACAATGCTGGAATCGTCGAAGAACGTTTACAGCTGACTGTTTCCGATGACATCAATGATATAACCGGTGGAGAAGTCAATGAAAAAGGACCCAATAGAGGAGACATATCCGGTGACGATTACAATATCGCTTCCAACATCAAACCGGATGAAGACCTGGTTAATGTAGTCGGATCCAGAGCGGTATTAACCTGTAACGCCGGTAAGTGACGCCTTAACACCTAAAATCATTTATAATAGCAACGAAAAATTCGCGACAAAGAAGTCTCAACCAAAATTGGCTGTCTAATTATTCGATGTTGTTAGCTCTATTGGGAGTTGTCACAGATAATGGCATGTCCTCTGATTGTGTTCAATTATTTTAATGGAGTGATAAGCCTCTGGAGCCTCTAGATTTTCGTTTTAAAAGTTCCACCTAGTATCGACTGATAAAAGTGCACTAACCCAAATTGTTTGTAGGTGCAACCGCGGCTAGAGACCGCATTACCTTGACTTGGACCAGAAGTGATCGGTTACCGCTGTCAGAGGAGCACGACATCTATGAAAACTATCTAGTCTTAAAAAACGTACAGAAATCGGATCAAGGTCAATACAATTGCATAGGCATTTCTCCAGGCGGAAACGTCGTGTTTAGTCGACCAGTTTCGTTGAAAGTTGTCGGTAAGTCCCTAAGTTATTGATCGTATCTGGTTTTATACTGTAACAAATTATATTTAACAATAATCATCGCAAAATATGTGCGTTTATCATTTTGACACGCTAACAGAAAAAAAACAACTTTGTGTTGCCGGAGGTAATATTTATTAACATATAATAATAGTAGCGATATCATTTTGTTTAACGTTGGTGACCAACACTATCGTTGATAACTTCGATCCATCGATTTTCAGAGCCACCAAGGATATTCTTAAACCCTACCAGACAAATCGTGAGACGAGGTGATAACGCTCAGATCATTTGCACCGCAGAAGGAGATCAACCGATAACGATCACTTGGTCAAAACTATCCAGCCGATCGTTACCGCCGACCGTACAGACCAATGGAGAATATCTTAGGGTAAACTAATTGTAAACCAAATCTTTCTGACGTTTAAAATTTTGTTTTACATAATATATATATGGTAATGCTATACGAAATTAAACGAGGGATTAAATATAAATTAAGGGAAATTAGCCGATAAAAAAAACATAATAATGATGTGGATATGTATTGATAAAAGGGGACAAGCTAATATGAAATAAGTGAAGGGCTGCGGGGAAAAAAGATCAATGTCAATTTTTTTTGTCTATCATCTTCCAATATGTTGCGTGCTGGTTACGTTTTGTTCTCTTCGCTGCTGTCCATAGACTGAAATGATCATCTCCGTCGTAGTTTATATACGATGATGCGTGTTCTACCCATCACTATTCTTTTCCGGCTATCACATTTTCGTTTGTCGTTTACAGACAGCGAGAAAATAATATGTAACCAGTACACAACTCAAATTTGTAAATATACTAAGCCTAACCTAACTGTCAACCGTATACAAACTTCGAGAAATCTAATAAATAAAGTAGTTAAAAAACTGAAGAAAAGAAAATTATTCAAAGACAACCGAATTATTTTTTTAGTTTATCAGTATCACCGAACAGGACACCGGTAGATATTTGTGTAAAGCGGTCAATAATGTCGGAGAAGCCGAATCGGTTGCCGAAGTCATAGTGAACGGTATAAAACAAATTTAACAACAATCGGTTTTTCGGACAAAGTGTATTATTAACAATTAATAATTAACAGATCACTCGAGAGAGCCACCTGCGCCACTCATCAAAGCGGTAGAACATAATCAAGAAGCTTACGAAGGCAGTACGATTAATCTCCGATGCACTGTGCCCAAAACGAGCGAGGTAAGTTTAGAACATCTATGATTCATATCACACATTTTTTTTCAAATAAACATGGAAGTTTTCAACAAATACGAGCAGTTTTGAATTGTTCGAAAACTTTTTATAAGCATCGATATTCTTGAACTTTTTCGACTCTATGCATACTTTTAAACGTAACACGTTTTCTACTTCCGGATTTCTTTTCAAAGTAATATATTCTTTCAATCAACTTAATGTTTGCGATCCTTATATCAGATTGTTCTTGAGGAGTATATATATATATACTGTGTTGGCTCAATTGAGATCATATAACTGATTTACAGCAATACTCGGTGAAGTGGAGTCGATATCGATCGCCATTACCCAACGACACTCAGGTGTACGGAAACGTGTTGCGATTACAAAATTTGAAGATCGACGACAACGATCGGTACCTGTGTAAGGTGGAAACCCCATACGGTTCAGGCACCGACTACATAGACCTCAGAGTGCTCCGTAAGTAATCGAAATCGTCGTTAGTATATCATTTATCACGTTCATCGACACATTATATAATTACATAAAATAGCATCCGTATCACACACATTATTAGCATGTTCATCCGTGTCATATTTAGTTAAAACGTCATCGCTTACAAGTAGTCGTCAATGGCAACGGACGTTTGAATCCCGCCCGTTGACTTGTCACGTTTAACTCGGCTAATTTTGTAAAGTTTACAGATATCATAATTTAGAATATTTTTGTATAATAAATATATATTTTACCGTGACACAACACTTATTGTCGGTACGTTAATGACAATGAATAGACAATCACTTATAACTTATAATCAGTCAGCATATTGTATTATGTCAACGTTTGCTTATCGTCTAATACACACTTATACTTCAGTACACAACATTTTCACACACACACATTAACACTTACTTAAGTAAAAAAGTAGAACATTTTTGAGTTTGTGTAAAATTATTTACTTTGTGTGTGTTTTCGCCACACACATCACACTGTATGTGATATTTTTTTTTTTTGCAAAAACATAAATGTTAGAAGTTTTTTTAAAAAAAATTGTATACACAATGTTACAATTTGTTATTGTTCCTGGGTATTAGAAGTGTAATTTTCCAATAGCTATGCCTAAATGTAATGAAACATTTTTGTCCTTCTCGATAACTTTTTAAACTTAAATAATTGGACTAATGAAAAATAGTATTTGTTTCCAGCTGGGATTCTTCTAAGTATCTCATCGTGGCCATCTGCTTGTGAGTTTATATCTACCCCAAAGTATTTAAAGTTACGGGTTCTTTCAAATTGCGTGCATTGTATCATTTAATTGTCAATTAAAGGAATAGAACCATTCTAAATAGATGTCCCAAAAAATCAAATTTTTCTCCCACAGTAGAGAAACTAGAATACTCGGGCCGCTGTTGATTAAGATAAAATTATTGCAACCACCGATCGATAAATAGTGGAAGGTATCTAAAACAAGTTACTAGATAAAATAAATAATAGAATATTTCTAAAGGCAATTTGTTGGAGGATTTATGAAATATGAATTAGTAAAAATGTTATAGCTAGGAATTTAAAATAGTAAATTTTAGTACTTGAAATATTAGAGTTTTTTTAAATTTATCGAAAATTCGCCAACATATCCTGTTATTCTTCATTTTGGGCGTTGTTGCAGTAAAATCATGACATAGACTGAGTAAATCGGTTTCTGTGTTGCTTCTCACTATGTAAACGAGTATTATTGCAACATTCAAGCGTAAGCGCTATTGGAAAACGAGACAAGAACAACAATAATAGTGTTATCGTTTTTTTTTTTTTTTTTTGCTAAATTATTAGTATTTTAATTATTATTGTTATGATTTTTTTTTTCTCACTTATTGCACGGTTTTGTCACCTTCTGTTGTGGTTTTCGCTTTTGGTGATGGTGATTGTCTATGTTAACAAACGTACAGGACCTTGTCTACGCGACGAGTTTCGCTGTAAAGATGGCGTTTGCATTAATTTGTCACAATATTGCGACGGCGCTCAGGACTGCGCTGACAATTCGGACGAGGAAGAAACGTGTTCCCGCAACAGTAATCGAATTGGTTCGTTTTCCCTTATATTTTTTTCTTCTCTATTAATATTTAAAAAAATCAAATGCATTTTGCTTTCTTGATCATCGAACTACTAAACCACCAATCAAAATGTCACGACCGCGTGCAAAAACAGCGATTGCCTTACTTATAATCTAACTTAATCGTAATACTTTTGTAAAAACCTATCAAGAAAGCATTACATATGATACTTTCCTTTCACGGGCAATGATTCAGGTAAGAGCGTTTTCGGTTATTCGAACGCAACGGTTATTTTCAATACTTCCGAAATCTGTTAATTTCCGATTCCTCTAACACCGTATTGTGAGTCACCTAACCGTATTGTACTATTTTTTTTTTTTTCGATATAACGCAACAAAAGGTCGCAACTCCGGTCTGTACATCAAACCCGGTTTGAAGACCGTACACGTGGGCGACACTCTCGATTTAGAATGCATATGGTCCAGCGACGTCAGAGTTCCCGGCGAGTACAGTGAGATATCGTGGGCTAAAGTTAACGACGACATGGAGAAAAACGTCGAAAACCAAGGCTCCACCATCAAGTACGTCTCGGCTGCTGCTACTGCTCGTTATGACATTTTCTGACTTCCTTTATGTCAACAGGATCGTCCACGTGAACCCTGAGAACGGTGGCACGTACAGATGCACGAGACGTGACCAAAACAACAACATCGTTACGGAAGACTACGAATTAGCAGTGACGCGTAAGTACATGGCATACATACTAACGAGTAATCCCTGTGTGGATAGGGGAGAAAGAATTCTTCCAAGGGTTTCACGCCTGTCGTAAAAGGCCGACTTAGGTGTCGCTACTAGTCGGTCCGCGGTCGTTATTGAAAAAAATGTTATCGTTAAGAAGAGGAGAAACTTTAACTAGGCAGAAGAGATAACCTAGATAAAGTTCTCATTATTTTCAATATGTAAAAAAATTGTTTCTACGGTTATTATTTAGTCAATAATAGATAATATGCGTAGTTATGATTGATTATAAATAATATAAATGGCGCTGGCATGTATCTTTTGCTGCGCGACAATCGTCAGCGCTCACGGTACCTACCGCCATAACTAAAAACCGTATAAAGCACTCTACGACGGCAACAATTTACCGATTAACGCAAAAATTACATGCCAGTGGGCTATCTATATTATTTACAACCAACGGTAGCTATGATTAAACGAAAACAATATTTTAATCGCTGTCGTGGATGCTGTGATGGTACGAAAAATAAATTAAATGACAAAAAAGTGTCTTAATTACTAAACTAATAATACATCACCTTTAAATTAAGATTTTGCAAAAAATGTCCTATACCTTACTCCTTAATAAATGGTGGTATGACGTCCTCATAACTATTAATATAATAATATTATTTTATGTCTGTTAATTTAACGCTGCGATTCGGATAAACGTTATCGCTTTCGACTGGTCGTAAGTTATCCAACGAAAAATGAAACGAATACAATAGAGTTTTTTTCAGTTTCCATTAAAATATCCATTGTATTACAGAACAATCGTCTGACGCCGCCTTACCGTCAGTGAACACCAAGTATGCGCCTTACGGAAAGTCGGTGGTCATCGAGTGCAACACGGACTTAACGCCGCCGGTCGAATATTCCTGGTCGAAATTCGGACCTCAAATGGAACCTATTTTTGATCGCGTAAGTAAAATCATAGATAAGTAAATTACCGAGTCATTTTATCCTCCTTCGTTCCCGCGGTCGGTGGAACATCTGTCGTTGACGGAATTGTCGGTTTTTAGAAAAACTTGACCATGTACAACGTGACGGAAAAGAGCGCCGGTCTATACTTGTGCACGGCTTCTAACGACAACCTGAGGATTGACGTGCCGGTGGTGCTGGTCGTCACCGGTATTGTACCTTCGTTCCGTGGCACCGACAGCTACTTGGCGTTCCCCACCCTTTTGAACACTTACTTAGAGTTCAACATCGAGGTGCACTTCAAACCCGAAGAGGAGGATGGTCTCATATTGTACAACGGCCAAAAGCCCGGAGCCGCCGGTGACTTCTTCTCGTTTGGTCTGAACGGAGGTGTACCGGAGTTCAGGTTCGATGTGGGTTCTGGTGCGGCGGTCATTAGAGCAACGGAACCTGTATCGATAGGCGTGTGGCACACGGCCAAGCTGGCAAGAGTGAAGAAACACGGTAACATGTACATCGACGGCCGTGGACCTTACCAAGGTGTCAGCCCTGGTACGTTCCAAGGAATGGACTTGGCTCAACCAATGTATGTCGGTGGAGTGCCAGACTTCAATTCTATTCACAAGGACGCAGGATTCCGTAAAGGATTCGTCGGTAAGTCGAATGTTTTGTGTCCGCGGTCGATCGGCTCAATACGGTGTAAAATGTTAAGGTGTTGATTTGTTTTCTTACTCGTCGCCACATGATCGTTTTGTAGGTTGCGTGAGCGGCTTCAAGTCCGAAGCCCGTTCGTACAACTTGATGAAGGACTCGGTGGACAAGAACGGTCTAGGAACGTGCGACGTATGTTCCAACAACCGGTGTATGAACCAAGGGATATGCCAAGAAGCCCAAGGCGTCAGCCAAGAATATTCGTGCATTTGCCAACCCGGTTTCAGTGGTGACTATTGCCAGAACATTCGGGAAGTTTGTACGCCAGGTAAACGTTTTGTGACAATTATTACAACGCGACAGACATTGAATAATATGTTATCGTTGGGGACTGGTTTAGGTGTTTGTGGACTCGGAGAATGTCTGACCGGTCACGAAGAGATCGAATGCAAATGCAAAGTGGGCACAATCGGAAAGAGATGCGAACGTAACATCGAAATCGTCGAACCATATTTCTCCGGTCATTCTTACTTAGCGTACCCGGCACCGACGTCACAACAAAAGTACAACTCGGCATCCAATACAATGCACATATTACACATGTTAAATGTCCATTTATATTTCAGGTTAAACATATCGTTGAAAATCAATCCTACGTCGTTGGTGGACGGTGTGATTCTCTACGCGGCGCAAAACCTTCAAGGAATAGGCCAGTACATGGCAATTATCATTAAAGACAGACAAGTGGAATTCCGATACACAGTTAACGGTACGCACGCACTGGTCCCCGATTTTACCACTACATTAATAAAACACACTACACGTTCGTCCGACTTCCGTGTTTAGGTATAACGTCCATGTTACGAAGCCGACAATATTTGGAAATTGGTGAATGGGCGACGATTGTCATCAGCCGCAACACGTTTACACAAGAGAGCAGGTTGTCTGTCAACAGAGAATCGCCGATCAGAGCAATCGAAAACGGAAACATGCTCCCATTAGAACTAAAAACTCATCTCTTCGTTGGCGGTTATGATCCGTACAAAATAAAAATTTCTTCGCAAGTCGAAGTTGATAGTGGTTTTAAAGGATGCATTAAAGGGGTGAGTTATGCATACTCATTATGAACATTGAACTTAAATTGTCGACTATCCCGTGAGCAGAGTTGGACAAAATATGGATTTGAACATTTTTAAATCCGAAATGAAATGCTGTGAAACAGAAATTTTAGAATAAAAAATTAGTTAAGATTTTCAACACATAAAAAGTTTAAGGATTTTCAAAATCCTGAAAATCCGGATTTTGACCAAATTTTCCTTAAAAGCTATAGACAAACTAAAATAGTGTCCACTTTGTGCTTTCTCTCATTCTGTACTTGATTAATTGATTTTACTGATGTTTGCCACGTAGCTTGAAATCTCCGGAATAGATTTGGACGTGATCAATTCGGCTATCGATTCGGCCAACATTGAAGACTGTGCTAATGTGCGCGGAGACGCCTGTTCGTACAACCATTGCAAAAACGGCGCCAGTTGCCATTCCACGACCAAGTACTACGAATATACTTGCGAATGTGAACCGGGTTATAGGTAAGCAAACGATTATAGTCGGACGATTTAATCAAACTAACTTAACATTGCCTTACGGCGACTTTAGCGGTCCCAAATGCGATGCTGAGGCCAACCTGTGCTCCACTTTGAACCCATGCCACAACGGAGGCTCTTGTACCGACATCGATGCCAGCTCGTATAAATGCGATTGCCCCCTGGGATATTCGGGGCCCACTTGTAACGAAAGTAAGAACCGAACGCGAGTTGTTTTTGCTTTTTTTTTTTTTTATTTAAGTTTGTGATTTCACGTAAACTCTTTGGCGTTTTTAGAAGTCACGTTAGATATCACGGCCAATTTTACCGGAAACAGTTACCTGCAGTTGGACAAAGCGCTGATAGACAAGACCAAAGGGGAACATTCCATATCGCTGGCGTTCACCACGTCGTCGGCCAACGGACTGCTCTATTGGCAAGGCGAGGTCGCCGATGGAAAGGAACTAATAGAAAACTATATCGCAATTTCGAGTAAGCAATATCGACGGTTTATTTTTCGCTCGTGTTTATTTGTCTGTTGACTCACTGTTGCAGTCGTCAACGGCTACGTGGAGTTCAGCCGCAAGTCCAGAGGAACAATGCAGCTTACCACGTCGATCAGAGCAACCGACCACCACGTCAACGACAACGAACCGCACTCGGTAACGGTTCGCGGTAACGGCAATGAGTGGTCTCTGGAGTTGGACAGACGGACGACGGAATTCGGCAAGGACCGGGGCGAAGGACTCGAAAAGCTCTTGGAGTCATCCGATTTGATTTACATTGGTAAGCCGATTTATGTTTCCTATTTAAAAAAAAAAAAACAGTGTCATTCGCTCTAAATCAATGTAGGTTATTCGTCAAACTTAAAATCACACTATATTTGTTATGCGACTACGGTAAATTTTGGGTTTTGTTGATTGTGTACAGGCGGATTGCCGGATACCATTTCGTCGTTGAGCGTTAACCGCATTACAGGATTCGAAGGGTGTGTTAGCGATGTACGGATACAAGAGTCTGGCTACGTTAATCTCGACCAAAAATCCGTGTCTGCCAAAAATGTCGCATCTTGCAACAGGTAAAGTTTTTCTTTTCAAGAATCTCTAATCAAATAAAACCAATCGGTCGCTAACACTATTGTCGTAAACTACGTCTTTTGAGAGTTTCCTAAAACAATAGATTTGGACACGTACCGCCGTTATCGAAGTACCTATTTGTCGTATTAATTGTTATCCTACCAATACGACAGTGACCTTTTCAGTTAAAAAATAATGCCGAAGAATAATTATTCGTCGGTAACCAAAATTCATCAGCTTAACAGGTCATTAAGGCCCAACACTGTCGTTATGAGATAATAGTTTCTAGACGAATTCGCTAATTGGGGCAGGTAATCAGGAGAAGGGATGGCGGCTCTTTTTCCACCTAACCTAAACGGAGCCCCGACGGTGGCCTAGTATCGAATTGGCGATAGTGAGCGCCAAACACACTTACACCTTATACCCCCACTCGGCTACTCGTCCAAGTTTAAATGTAGTAAGACTATTTTTTTTAAAAAGTTTATAATACTCCGCAAGTTAAAGTTGAAAAAGGTGTAAATTATTTGGGTGTTTTTTCTCGATTTTGAAGAGAAAGGGGTATATTTTTTAGCCCAATAATGTATCTTTCAGATACAGTTTTTGATCTATAGACTTGCCACGTGAGAAAATCGATTTAGCGGTTTGCATATCATGAGTCGTTCACGTACAAAAATAGAATAAAACACATTGTGGTAATATTATTGAAATATTTTGATATTTTGTAAAATTGTTTTTAAATCTTCAAAACGACTTATTAAAGACCCTTTTGATTCTCGCCACTTCGTTATCCATAATAACACTGTACAACCGATTTTCTAACAATAATTGTTTGTATGTTCTCCGTTAATTCCGAGTATAGCCTTAGAATTTAACTAACTTTAAAATATATATACATACAATCGAAATACATACATGTAATTAGGTACTTACGTTATCTTGTCGCTTAATTTTTTTAAATTTTTTTTTAATGCTTTTAAAACCCCGACATTTTTAAGTAGTAAAAGAGGTAGTTTACGGCTACGTGGAGGATGTTTTTTGAATCGCTTCTTAACATGAAAATTAATGCTTTTGTGTGTGGTAAGGACTAACCGTGTTTTTAATGTTTTTCTTTAACACGCTGCTCTTGGAATGTACAGTTATTATTATAAAAAAAATCACTTGAGGCGTAAACCTTCATCGTTTATATTTACACAGTCTTTGACCACTGACGCCCAAGTGGTGTTTCGGGTAAACCGATTTCCCACGGCCGCTTGGCCGGACATCGTCAACGACACCAAATATTTCGGACCAGAAATCAACGATAACGACAGCGAAAATAATTACAATACCATCAATAATGACAACGATGATAATAAATGTTGTACATACAATAACCCTAGCGTACGGCTGCTGGCCACCTTGTTTTTTGTGTTGATCGTTGTTGTTGACTAGTTCATAACGAACGTTGAAATCTAAAACTGTTTTTTTTTTTTTTTTTTTTTTTTTCATTATAAATCATAAAATAATAATATCGAAAAAGGGTTGTGATTTTAAAAATGTATATAATTTACCTATATACCTATACCATTTATCAATTGTTATCGTGACAATAGTTAGCTTCTTGTACAAAATATAATTAGGTATAATTGACTATTACTGTTAAGGGCTAAACGATTAAAGTGCCTATGCGATTATTGATAATTGTCGACTATATACAATTTGTAAGTATGTTATTATGATACGCTGTTAAAACTATTGACTGTTGTTATTGCCAGACTGATCTCATTATCCGTCATCCGTTCACGTTGGTTTTCGAAAATCGGCGACGTATTAAACTACAGCTAATTAGTAATTAGTTAAAAACATATATTGTTTTTTTTTTTTTTACGTTATGTTGTAATGATAACTGTTTTAGCAATAAAAATCGACCTGTGACTTGCGACAAGTATATATATTATATTTTTGCTTTTTTAATGTTTGATACACTAACAAAACAAAGCTTTTTCATACTAATATTATTAATTTTAGGTTCTTGCACACAGGTTATGACTTTAAATAGACAAAAAAAATTAGCCTTCCTATCGCTTAATCCGCCATAATATTAAGAATTAACACTATAAGCTCATATCAGGTGATTATCCTTAATATTTCTCCCGAAATGGCAATAACTCGATTTTTGAAAATGCCGACAAGAGGTCCTTTTTTGAACACCGCATCACTACTTATTTCTCCTTATACATTTTCTTTCTTTTTATGTCACTATTATATCTCTTATAAAGGTGGGGCCACCGACCACCTGTATGGTTCTATCTATATATTCAAGATATTTAGGTTTTAAAATCCATCACTGGACGCGTGAGGTATGAATGTACGCTGGTCACGTACCCGATTGAGGATTAAGAGATGTTCTACCAATTTTTTTAATTCGGCTGTACCCTGGTAGTATGTATATACTATAGTGTGGTGGTTGTGGCAAAGGTTCCGAACGGCCAATATTAAGCCATGGAAAAACAAATCTATATTGATATTACACGCTAAATCATTCAAATAAAAGGATTATTTTATTAAAATGTGTACGAATACATAGGTATGTTATTATGCGATTTGTACTACGTTTTATTTTTAGTAGGCTATATAGCTAACACGAGGTGGACGGTCCAACGGGTATGTAGAAATTAGAATACTATTCTAAGTGTCTAATTTATTATTGTCACTCGCTTATAGCGTTACTTGCTTTTTAATTTTTTTCGCGCAATAAATTATAAAAAAAAAAAATAATAATATGTTTGGATAATGATATAAATGCGTTTTTTTGGAAACGACTGTAAATTAATTACATTTTGGATATTGTAATTTTTTCAGACACGACACTAGCAATCTCGTGCAAAAGACCAAATGAGCAAGACATTCAACATCATTGCCACCGCTAAGTATCTACTGCGACTAACTAATAGTATAATATACCAAATTGTATACTGTACAATTAATACATTTTTCAATTTTTCAATTTAAGGATTAACTATTATATATTGTTTGTTTTTAAATTAGTTAAGAACTTTTGCTTTTAATAATCATTTTGTAATTAAAACATATTTTAGCATTGAACTTTATACAAGCCTAAATTAGTAACACTTAGCGGCATTTACATTAGCATTTAGCTTGCTATCTATTACATACAAAATGTAAAAGTGTATTTGTGCGTGTGTGTGCGATTACACATTATTACGCATGTTTTTATTCATTCACTTTTCATCATTTAATTAAATCTACTGTATTTGTACTATGTATCTGCGCGATAACCCATCTAGGGATGCGTAAACACTATTCGATCGTAATATAGGTACACACAATAGTACCATTTTTATTTTTAATATTTAAAATAAATATATTATAATATACCTATATGTAGCGGATTAACCAACGTTGTGTTCCATTAAGACTATCCCTATAGTGTACACCATACACAACAATATATAAGTACACCTACCGCGCTATATTTCGTGCGCTAGTCAGATTAATAATGTTTTAATTTAATTTAATATAATATGCTTGTTCCATACATCTACCTTATTTTTTTTTTTAATTTAACGCGTAATTATTTATTGAATAAATATTAATAAATCATATTATTATTGTGCCATAATAACACTTGTTTTTAATCTCTGTGCGACTGTACCTACTTGTCAAAAAAAAAAAAAAACATTCATTTTTTATCGACCTGCATTTAAAAAAGTAAGAACGGAAAGAGAAAATTCCTAACAGGACATACTTCCAATGGACAGAATTCATGTATCATTCATGAGACCTTTTCTAAACATCGTAGATCAGTAAAGAGGAAGATCAAAAGACGTGTCCGACATTGGCCCATGTCGGAGGAAGGTTGGTACACAGACTGCAGACCAAGGGTCCGGATATAGTTCTTAAAAAGTTCCTATCCGATATTTGTTCCGGAGCGAATAAACTTTTTTTCGGGGGAGACAATTTAAGTATATGGACCTTACATATACAATTTTTCTGAACACAGCATGACCGCATTAGATATAAAACGTCACACGAGACAGTAGGGGAACATGGGGCAAAGTGGGGACGCTAATGTCTGAAGACCTGTAATTCACCTAAAATTCAATTTTTTCCTTTCAAATTTTGTTCACGCAATCTATAGGTTATGGCAATTGATTATACATTTTTTATGAAAATTTGATTTTTTTTTTTTATGTAAGTTTTAAGAGATGTAAAAAAAAGTACAGTTTACCCCACTTTGCCCCGTGTTCCCCTAAAGCGTTGGTCAAGTCGACTACCTAATTGACGGTTATGTAAATAAACAACCGACTAAAAGTGTGGCCAATACTTTTTATCATGATATATTATTTTTCCAATGTGGTCACAGTCATAAATCTTAGCTACCTACATTTCTTGGATGGTACTTTTAGCCCACCCATATCAGAAAGTTGCTCTAATAAGACGGTTCAAAAAGCTTGGAATTTATGGGGACTAGACGCATTAATTTCATTAAAGATTATCATAACTAATTGACAATGTAAAAATCGCAATTTTACTCTGCAAAATTTTATTTTGAAACTCTTAATTTTGGTTTAGAAGTCAATAATTTAACCCCGCGTTCAGATTCGGGGTCACTGTTTGGGAGGGTGGATGTTTTTTACAGCCCCTTCTATCGTAGTGCTAAAAACGTGGAAAATAAATCAACAATTTTGCACCAGACCTATCGCTTGCCGGTCGGCTGCTCTGCCCACTGAGCTGTCTGCGTCGCCATTTTAATATAAGGTGAAATATACATCTTATAGACTACAGAATATTTGCTTTGTATTACCAACCCATCCCCTGTGAAATGAACAAATAACATATGCAAACTCAGAAAATGAAAAAAAACCAGTAAGGTGGGGTCGGGGCATAGTGGGGACGGGGAGGTCACAGGTTTACAGGAATTTTTAAATCTTAAAGTGATAGAATCACTTTCGAAAAAACGCTTCGATACAAATCAGTAGTTAGTATTTTCAAGCCAGTACGGTCCAAACCAAGCACAGTGTAAACCAGCAAATTTAGAAAGTATTAAATTGAAGTGCTGTATTTACAAAAGCCCGTTTATTTTAAAGTGATTTTTTATCACTTTTATTTATAATTATTCCTGTAGACCTGTGACCTCTCCGTCCCCTCTATGCTTTGATTCCATTATGCATATACTCTACTGTATTAGTCCTCTCGGATAAAATCACTTTCAAATTAACGCTTCGAGTTAAGCTAAAAGTGGCAGTTGAGTATCCAAACTTTATAGTACCGTTCTGCATAGATCTACATAAAATTGTTGTATTAGTTTGATACATTTTTTTAAAGATTTTAGGTTTTTGTTAAAATATACGAAATCTGAGAACATACAGTTTTAACAAGTCCAAAATTAACAGCTAAAAAACTTGCACTCCCCCTAGGGGGAAGGTAAATGAGTGTAATTAAAATTTGAGACAATTGACGTGCGAGGGCATACGAAATAGATATTCCTTATAAATTTAAACTTGATCCGACTCTTTTTCTCGAAATTATAGCCAGTAAAAGTTCTAACTTAAAAACTCGTATGGTTTTTTTCAAATTTTAACTGTGAAGAAGAAAACTTGTTCATCGTTTACCTACCTTAAGTACCAACTAGTCACTGGATGAAATTTGTGATTTATAGAGTTGCTACTCGAAGGAATTGGTCCAGTATTAAAAAAGTTACAGTGTATACAGATAAAAAAAAAACCCACTTCATAGTAAAACCAATACCTTCACTGCTTTGGATCGAAGCTAAAATAAATATTCCACAACTCTGCAAAGAATTACATTTTTTATATTTATGGTTAACCTTTACAGAAGTGGCACTTGAATCTGGAAACAAATCAACAATGTTTCTTTATGATCGTTGTCAGCCATAATCACAAAGGATCATTTTTTTGTTTCCAGCTTCTAATGCCACTTTTCTATTTTTAACTATAGCATAGATTTTTAGATAGATGATAACTTTTATAGGGCATAGACCATAGACAAATTTAAATTTAAAACATATTATGAAATGTAATTTTTATTCCTATGCTGAGATTTTTCGCATCACGTTATGTTTGTTTAGTTAACTCATTTACTCATCAACTCGACTTGTTTAACAAAGCCCAAAACATTATCATGCTTCAACATTATCTTTAACTTAAAATATCACGATTATTTTCTTTTTAATTTAATTAAAATATTAACTTTGAACTTCAATCTGCTACATTCCTTCCCGCTTTTAAATATTGGTCTACGTATTAATTTAGTTGTATAACATGTAAGAAGTCGCGTTTTTTTCGAATCGCAACTTTTTTTATAAATTCATAGTCGTCCTAATTAATAGTATGATTCATAATATTGAAAAACACTTCATATACGTAACGGCTACAAGTCGTTTTATGTATTTGAAAGCTACTAATTACATCCCTCTAAATTAATTTTAATTCTAGGCCTCAACTTTGAATTAACTTGTAAATATAATAACATACATACAAAAACTAAACACAGTAAACAAATTAAAACAGTCATTTATGTTCATGATTGATTTATTTTCCTATTTATATGCTACTTGGAACACATACTACAGATGTTAATATAAATGTTTCAAAAAAAAATTATCAATTCATTTGTACAAAATGCTAATTTATAATAAAAGGCCTAAATAAGGCAACAATTGTATGAAAAAGAGCGGAAGAAATCGATGTAAAGCACTTGAAATTCTTATTTCTTGTAAATTATTAAATACGACTTAAGACGAAATGACTGTTTCGTTTAATATATATATAATATATAGAAAAATACAACGAAATACAGATTATTTAATTTTCAAATATTATTTTTGAGACATTTTTCTAATGTTTCTTTTGTAATACTTTACAAAAACAAAATATATCTAAATACATATAATGAAATGAAACATATCTTATTAAATACAATCGTGATCAAATCATTCCAAAGGTTATCATTTTGTGCTATATAAAAATACATTATAGTGTATTAAATAATATATTATAAAATAGTTTTCTTATTCACAATAATAATATTATACACCCTAATATTACATATATATATAGATTCATCTATTTATATAGCATATATCAATATTACGCTTAATAAAAAATAATAAAAAGGAAACTCGCATATTATAATGTAATCTAGTCACATTGATAATAATTACATAGCAAAAATTACAAACAAAAATTTTAAATCAATAGTTTAGCATATGGACCATTAGGTACATTTTAAATGTATGTATATGTTTACTAAACTATATTACATTAATTAATGTATTATTATAAAAAACATCTATAAAACAGTTAAAAGGTTAGAGATAAGGTTAGATTAAAACAACATGTGACCATCAGCCAATTAGAGTATAATATATACTCATATACTTAAATATTGTTTTCATAAATATTATATATTATTTTTATTTATTTAATTTTGTGAAAAATATTTGATTTAGTATTACAATATAAAAAGTGTTTTTTCGAAAAAAAAAAAAAGACAATTTCTTTTTCACAGGAAATAATTATTACTACAAGTTACAGAAAAAAGTATTTAAGAGTACTATCTACTAGATATTTAATATAAATATTACTACTTTTATTAACATACAAAGACTATTAATATTTTTTAAGCTACAATTTATTAAATAATTATCAAGACAGTTGAATTAAAAAAGATGCAAAATATGTTTCACAGTGGTAATTATAATTGTGGTTTTGTCACATCTGACAATATAGAATGGTAACATAACAACTATATGCTGATAAAACAAATGAAGATGCTTGTACCAGAATGAGTATTGTTTAGAAAAATTTGTCCAAAAGTTAAGTCAATGCCTGGATACCAGGACGGCCAGTTAAAAAAAAAAAATATGAGTAGACACTAAATTAAAAAAAGAAAAAAACTTGTACCAAAGTCATGACAGTAACTATCAAAATAAATTTAAGTATTATATTTCTTGCTTAACACTAGACTTATTAAACACTAAAACATTAGCATTTTGATTTACAGCTTATGATTCAGAGGAATCTTTTTTTTCTTCCGTTACTGAAGATTTTTCAGGTTCAGATGCAGGTTCCTTGCCCTGTTAAAAATTATTTATATTTTAAGCCATTTAAATTTAATTTATGACATTTAATTAATGTTTCATTACCTCATCCACCTTTTTCTCATCATCGGTTGATTCATTTCCATTTTCTACTACTTTTTCTTCAGTTTTTGAATCTACTTCTTCTTCAGTAGAACTACCGCCCTTATCATCTTTGGATTCACTATCATTTTCAGCAATGCCATTTTCTTCAGCAGAAACTATTTCTTCTTCTTCGTCATTTGCAACTGCCTTAGATTTCCTCCCTCTTTTACCTAAGTTATAAATTTTAAATTTAGAGCTATAATAATCACATTACATAAATGCAAATGAGTATCACCTTTTCCTGTTGGGGTTTTCTTTTCTTTTTTTGGTGGAGGAGCATCACTTTTTGCCTTCGATGCAGCAGTCGAACCTCTTGTAGAAGATCGTGTTGTTCTCCTTCCATCAACTTCCTCAGAACTATTTAATCCCTAAAAAATACGGTTACATAATCATTTTATTTCAAAACTGTTAATATTTTCATTTTTCACACAATTATTAATATACAACTATAATTATATTACATATTTAATTACATATAAACAACCATGTTAATACATACTTTTGTAATAAGCTCAGCCTCTGCATTAATAATATCCAAAGCTTTTGTACGTTTTCCACCAGCATTTCGCTTGCGTCCACGTTTTTCGCTCTCCTATAATTAAATCAAGCCCAATTAATTTTCTACTATAGTAAACTTAATTATTCTAAAAACAATTATTTGTAATTAAAATGAATGTTAGGAATATTCTATCAAACGTCAAAAACACAATTTGACTTAATGCGTTGAACACTGAAAACTAACTAAAATCCCAATTGAAAAATCTTTTAATAAAATATGTTCCCTATTTCAAAAAGTCAAGTTAATTTACATGTATTTAATAGTCATTTTTATAATTACACCCATTAAAAACGTCACAGGTAAAAACTATTGTACCTAAAACAGTTAGGTAACGACAGTTTTTTTTTTATATTATTTACAGCTATGTATTTTTTTTTTTTTTGTAATTAGTAACATGGATAAATGTGGATAAATACTAGCTTAAATTTAAGACTGTATCGTATAGCCCTTATTACCTTGTAAACGATTAAAAAAAAATCATTTCGAAACGTTCTATACTGTTGCGAATAACGTTTTGCTTAAACGAAAATTAGTCGAAAAATTGTAATAACGAGTTAAAATTAATAAATTGGCGGGAAGGTAAATAACCGCGAACACACGCCGGCCGTCAGTGAGGCAATGTGTACAATAGTCGACGTGCCCATACGGTAATCGTGTCGAGTGTGTACGGTAACCATACGAGGACGCCGTCGACATGACGATTCGACGGGACGGCGAACGACATCGACATGGAGTACAAGTCACAACTACGGCGATGTCGAACACCGTAGACCCGTATAACCGTTAAAACACAACGACATGGAACTGTAGACAAATGGCCAAAAGGCCAGGTCGGGCAAGCGGGCAATCTGTAATACGAGTAACGGCAAGAATAAAAATCAACACGGCGTATTATTACAATGCGGCGGCGGCCAAGCGGGTATTAAAGCAATGAGATGGCGGGCCGGAGGAGGGGAGCCAAAGCCACCGTTTTTCGTAATTTTTTGCCGCGGTTCCGTGGTGCTACAAGGGAGGAAGAAAGAAGGCAAACCGTCGACGGAAAAGCCTTTTTCAATGAAACGGCGCGATCGGATCACACGCCGCCGGTAAGGTTTGGCGGCAAAAACGGACGGTGGCATCGGTTGGCTGTTCAATCGACTTGCACGAACAAAATAGCCAATTAGACGTTTACCTGGTTGTTTTCTATGTTGCCGTTGTTGACGACGGGTTCCGCGGCGACGGCGGCGGGTACGTTGTTTTCTGCAGCCACTTCGGACATTATAATAACGTGTTGCGGCGGTGACGACTAGAAAAAAACTTGCCGGGCGATATTCAAAAAAATATGTTGGCGGTAATCCGTGGTCTACGGGCGTACGCACTAAAAACTCTTCGAGTGTATGGCACGCGATGCAGATACGGAGAACAGGGTAGTAAATGTAGGAAAACACAATGTAGCAAATATTCTACCAACAAACGAAATGAAACCGACTGATAGACAAGACCGGCGGCCGTGGACGTCGTTGTTTGTTTACGGGGCACGAGTGTGAATAGGTTTTGTAACGAATAATAAAGCCAAGCGGCCGCCGTTGGAGTTACCGCGAGATGGCGTACCGGGCCCCCCCCCCCCACTGCACTGCATCGACGCGGCCACAAGCGACCTAACCGTCGCTCGTCAGTCGTCACGTGACACTACAGTAAACGACGGGTAACGACTGACGTCCTACTACCGAGCACCGCATAATATGGTATATCAATTTTATATACTCATGTCTTATCTATGGAGTGCCGACGCGACTGTACTGAACCGTTTAAAATGTTCAAAACATCCTTTGCTACTAGCTACGCAGGTAGTCAGTTGACAGTTACATTGCACTTCCAACGCCAGAGGGATTTACAGTTGTAAAAATTAATTTAAAATGTATTGTACAGGAGTACAACAAGAGTATGAAGAATGAGAAAATGATAATAATAAAATTACCGATTACTGTTTTCAGTTTAAACTTGTAATACATTACATAAATAGCGATTATATTTTACAAGGTAGTTTTTTACGGTTTGGAAAAATATAAAATGTCAAGGACGAGTACAACTCCTTAACACCAGTTGAAAAAATATCGACCGGTTTTCAAATTACCCATCTATTTATAGTGATAATATTTCAGACTGAATAATATCCAAACATTTGTATCTGAAGGGTAAAGCAAACTCTCCTCTCTTAATAGTTAATACATTTTTTTCAAATATACTTACTTAACAATTTTAAAAGGGATGTGTAATCACTAATCAAAAATTTACTGTTTGGTAAAAAATTGATTATTAAGAATTACAGTATTGTTATTAATTGTCATTATATCCTTGTAGGTTCGATGCGTAGATAATAACTGTATTTGTGCAATGTTGCAAAATTAGGTATCGAAAAATTAACTTTGTTTTATAAATAGTATTTTCTCAAAAAACCTAAAAAAAACACAAATAAAATTATTTAAAAGTATCTAGGAGGCAGGAGCATATATATACATACATAAATTAAGTATAGTACTAGTAGTTTTCAGAATATAATTTTTACATTTCTACATTAAAAGCACAATTATTATTTCTAAATGTAATAAAGCATAGTTCTTTGATTATTGTATATTGTCATATATACAATATATGGCAATATGACATAATGTATTCTTCCAATAACTAATAAGAATACATTTATTTATTATCTAATTGTGGAGCTCTGCACAATATGTTTTCATTCTGTTTAAATATTACTTTAATACAAATTAAAACGTGATATATATATAAATTGTTTTTCGTGCTGATGAACTGCTGACAATAATCAGTTGGTTTTCCACAGTTTTTAAGATGATTTTTCATGTTGTTCCTTAAACATAACAAATACAGAATACTTTATTAATAACACATGCCATATTGGACTTTATTATTTATTTACATTAACACTAAGGTTTTCAAAAATTGTGTTGTACTCATATCTACTTACAGATGTATGCATAGGCGTAACTAGGGAAGACTTGGTAGGGGCTATGTCCTCCAGAGTCAATTTTAGCCACTTCCATTTTTTTTAAGTAAATTACAATTAAAAACTTTTTTTGTAAGGTTTTGAAGTAGTCGGTCAATAAAAAAGTATTGTTAATTTTTTTCCAAAACGGTTTACTTTCTTATGAATGGTGAAAAAAAATGTTTTCCCACAAAAATTCAGTCCAACTCAATTTTAACCAGCGCCACCATTAGTTTTAAGTTTCTCATTTCAAATAACATAGGATCTGAATAACTTTTTATTTTTCATAAACCTGAGACGTAAAAATCTAAATTCTATGCTAATTGTAAGTGGTAGGTATCTTATAAACTTTGCAATACCTGCGCGTTAGCTGTTGTTATCTGTCATCTGTTCATGATAAAATCAATAATATGTTACAGATTGTACATAATATAAATAGCCTTAAAAAACGGGGAGGGGGTGATCTACTTTTATTTGTACGGTATGGCAATTGGCATAGCCGTATTTGGAAAGAGCGATCGCCCCTGCCCAAGAATCGGATTCTTAATTGGATGATACTGAATATTTCTATAATTGACTATATATTTAAAATTAATAATTAAAAAATATATTTTTAAATATATCTTACCTGTGTCAGTCGTTCATCATTATTTTGATTTTCTATAGTTACTATGTTTTTTTTATCTACACAAAAAATAATATTCCTTATTATTTAACACAAAGACACAGCACTATCATAGGCACAATTTAGGGAAACTTGGTAGTGCTTAGCTCCTCTTAAATGACTGATTAATATTTGTTTCTATACATGTATGTTGATTTTGATAGAGCGTTTAGATAATTGAATCAGTGCATAGCCGGAACTTTATTTTGGGAAAATATCACTTTCTGATGGCAAGTGTTAAAACGAGTTTATTGAATGTAATGTTGTTCCATTGGTGTCTCTCCACCGCCAAATACCTAATCAGTTGAAAACCCTCGATTTGCTGTTTAATTATAGCCCTATCTAGGTTTCTCTATTTTTTCGGCACTTTTTGGACTTAAGACGACATTAGTGGAGATTTTCGCCCTATGTGTATTTCCGGAATTCAAATCATATTTGTGCCAAGTTCGATCAAAATAGTGCAGCCGTTTGGACACCTATAAAGAACACATTATATCTAACTATGCGTATATCATAGGTATTAGGTACACTTATTATTTACATGAGACTCACAGGGCCAGAAAAGGCCAATTATAATTTTTTAAATACCATTGTTTAAGTTCCAATTTCAAAAAAATAGTATTAGAAGCCCGCTCGACCCGAACATAGATTTTAGATATTAGTTCTCAACCTAACTAAATTTATTAAAGACCGAACGATGTCGATGGCATAGTCCACAAATTTCTAGGGGTTTGTTGTAATTTAAGAGGACGAAGATAGAAACTCATAATGCCATAACATTGTTTTATAAACTTCTATATTATGCCCTTTAATATCAACATTATGCGTCTCTAGACTCTAGTACAGTAGTTGTACACTTTAATCTTCGTGTATAGAAGGCTATTAATTATCTGTAATTCTATACATAACTCAGTTTCCTAAAAATATGCACTACTATGACATTGATGATAAGTTTGATAAAAAAATGTAGGTATAATATTTATAAAGAACTACTTACAAACGTCTAATAGCTTGTCTCTCTCCATTTCTGCTTCATTCGCGGCATTCAACATAGAAGGTAACTTAAAACAAGCAATTGTCAACCGTATGAGTAACCATACGCAAAACACTAAAACTATGTACATGATACAAGTATACATCATGGCTGTGAAATTAATAACGACTACTTGGTTCTTCATGATCGCTCAATTGTTTTCTACATTAAGTAAATTCAAAGACGACCGTATACATACATTATACGACGTACGTTAACTTCGAGTGTTTCTTTGTAAAGTATTAAAAAACGCAGGACCACAATTATCGTGCTATAAAACGTAGACACAGCTCAAATCGATACTCCATCACTAAATTATTCATTGAGGTGACATATGATTGAGAGCCTCCTAATATATATATATAGACTACAATATATTAATGTATACCTACGTACGTAATGGAAATAATACTGTAAATATGTAATTTACAGTTTCATATATATATCAAACATTATTATTTTAATAATATTAAATAAATATAAGCTTTATCTTGATAATTTTTCGGTGTATTTATGTTAAAGGTTAAGCAATAGACATAGAAGGCATACTGTAGGGATAGGGTCACTACTATATAAGTTTATGACTCAAAATAACTTGTTGTCGTGCATCGTATAAATCCGTGTAAAAGTGTCTGTATGACAGCGCCTCATAATGATCTGGGTCTACTATCACTATCCAGTTTACCGTTGGGGTATCTCTTGTCCCTTTTTTAAAAATAAGTTTTATCATCTCAGTGGCTCGTCCGGATTTAATGCTTAGTTCCGGGTTTTGTATTTCGATGGCGGGGTAGTTTAGTATTTTCGGGGTCAACTCTTCCGCCCCTCATGACCGCCCTATCTCCGTGGACACCTACTCATAGATTTCCCCCCTTGGCCCTTGCCACCTCCAGTTCAATTGTCTTCGCACTAATTATTTTCATAAATTCCTTTGCTATGTTCTTTCCAGTCTCCAGAATTTTAAATCGAAAATAACACCCAGCACAGTATAAAGTTTACAGACCAGTGAAGTAAAGCTAGCAGAGTGGGATCCAGACTGACGTTAATTATTAATCAATGCGGATAGTGAATTAATCACTATCAAACGAAGGAGGTAAATAATCTTCAACAAGTATTTTCAAAATGTATACATTTAAAATTTGTTTTACAATGTTTTCAGATTTTGTTAGTGGCTATACTGCAACAATATGTGGAAATCGGATCACTACCTTTTGCTCCACAAATTTTTTATTCCATGAGACATTTGTTCCAAAGAAAAAAAGTCAATTTCCAATCCAACAACACCACGTACAGCTTTTTCATTAATAATAAAATAATAATAGTAATGGTATCTGCTCTATATATTTTTTTACTTTATTAATTAATGTTTATTACAATACTTAATTAGTTCCTAATAAACACAAAATAATTATTAAAAAACCTAATATAATAGACAACTAACTAATCTCTATCTAGTAGATCAGAGATGAACTAGTTGACAATTCTTAAAAAACAAAGTAGCTGTGATTATATCAGTGGTTTCACAAACTGATAGTGAATAGTGAATAGTGTTTTTTATTGATGATGTAATGAATTTGAATTGCTTGTTCTAATTTGTATTATTTTATTATTAAAAACAGATTAAGACGTTACTTTAATAACAGTTGGCGATTTAAAATAAATGGATTAAATTTGCGAATTTACGGCTGTTAAGTTTTTGTTATCTTAAACTTGTAAGTAATATTGTTTTCTTATATAAATTTAAGAAAATATATTTTTTATATAAATTTAACTACTATTACTTACTTATTTACTACATTAAATATCTAAAGATAGTTTTCTGTATACAGGCCTATCAATGAAGGAGCGATTGTTGTTATGTTGGTTTTTGTTCTTGCTTGTGGCTTGGGTCTGTGCAGAAAAAAAAGACTCTAAAGAAGATGAAGAAGATAATTATGACCTAAAGACAGAAGTAAAAAAACGTGAACACACAGCTAGTCGTGTGTTTCAGTTGATTAATGAAGCAGCTATGGAAATTGTCGGAGCTCCTGATCTAACAAAAGTATTACAAAGTTATATCATTTAATTTTAAGCAATATGTTATATTGTTACTAACAGTAGAACACTTTTTCTTATTTTTAGGAAAAGCCTATGAACTTAGAAGATGATCAGTCAGCAGATCAGTCAAAAAGTTATGATTTAGACAGTAGTGAAAACTTACAACTTATTAAGTTCCCTACTGATGGATTGTTTACTTATTGGGCCGATTTGTCCAATGATGATATAAGTTTACAAAGTTTAAGTGAAAATTCTGATGACAATGATGTTGAATTAGAATGGAAAGAACCAACAACAAATGCTGTCAATATACCTAATGAAGAAGGTAAATATATTATTCAACCCTTTATGGTAATTAGGGAATTGTTGATATTTCGACAAATTCACTCACGCGGGTGCCTGACCTCAGAATTCAAATTGGCGCCACTGCTTCCAACTTTTCCAACACATTAGAGTAGTTTTTTTCTTTTTACTTTATTCCATACAAATAGATATGAGAAGCCAAATTTATTCTTACTCAAAAAAAACACTAAACTTCGTCATTTCTTTACTCATTTCGTTCGTCTCTATAAATATTTTTTTACCACATCCACTCACTTCTTCCTCAATCTCTACCTCTACATTTAAATACTTTTACTGAGAGTTTTTCTTTAAAATCTAATTGGTGGTTAGTTTCATAAATAAACTATCTTATTTTTTAAAAAAAAGTTTGAATTTTATATTTGGATTAATTAGTTTTAATATTTATAACTTTTTGTAGTACAAACATTATATCAAACTGGTTTACGAAAATTAAAGTCTACACGTGGTGATAATTTGGAAGCATATGATTACTTTTACAAAGCGAGTTTATTAGGACATGAAGAAGCAAAGGCAAAGTATGCGTTTGCTTTATTATTTGGTTTAAAATTCAAGCAAAATATTGCTGGTGCTTATGAAATATTTAATGAATTATCTGAAAAAGGAAACCCTGATGCTCATCTCGTAAGTAATCACTAACAGTACTTTACACAATAATCATTGTAATTAATGAGAAAATAAAAATTGTATGTAGTTCTTGTCTCACTCCCTTAAATGTATTATGTTTTATGTATATAAATATAAATATATATATATATATATATATTATTTTTGTACATATGATTTCATAATTAATCTTGTATCTTTGTTATTTTAATTAGGGTATGGGCTTTTTGTATGCTGTTGGTCTGCATGTTCATGTAAGCCAACCAAAAGCACTTGTACATTATGTAATGGCTGCTGTTGGTGGTAATGTTCTTGCACAGTTAGCTTTGGGCTACCGTTATTTTGCTGGAGCTACTGTGGCGTACAGTTGTGAGAAAGCATTAGAATTTTACAAATTTGTTGCTAATAATGGTAAAAATGATTAAAAAAAAATTTGTCTTATGTTAAAAATTAACTATACTTTTTTGAGATACTATTTTTATGCATTTAAATGTTTCGTTTTTTTTTGTTTAGTTGCCAATGAGTTATCCTTATCTGGTGGCCCTCTTGTTCAACGTATAAAACTAATGGAAGAGATGGATAATCCTAATTATAACAGTGGCATTGTCGATTCGGATTTATTGGACTACTATAAAATGTTAGCTAATAAAGGAGATACACAAGCACAAGTAAATAATTTGTTTAACCCTCTATAGCTATTATTTTAGTATTCTTAACACTATCACTTGATTTAACATGTATACATTTTCACTTGAAGATTTTATTAAGTGTGCTTATATCATAAAATAATACATGCATATTACATCTTGTTTTATAGGTGGGATTAGGCCAGTTGTACTTACAAGGTGGTAGAGGTGTACCAATAGATATACAAACAGCCCAATACTACTTCCAAAAAGCAGCAGAGAATGGTAACGCTCTTGCATACGGTTTCCTTGGAAAGGTATTCTTGGTTATATAGAGCTTTAAAATGTTGTTAAAAAATCGTGACCTATACAACAATTTTACTTTACAGATTTATTTAGAAGAACGTGATGATGCAGAACCCGATTATGAAAAAGCGTTGGAATACTTTTATAAAGCAGCTAAATTGAAAAATCCTGTTGGGCAGAGTGGTCTAGGTTTCATGTATTTAAGTGGTCTCAAGGTGACTCAAGATTATTCAGAGGCTTTAAATTGGTTTACGTTAGCTGCAGAGCAGGGTTGGGTCGAAGGGCATTTATATGTTGGAATGATTTACTACAGTATGTTAATTTTACTAAATCATTAACACTTGGTATCGTACATATTATAAGAATGTTATGGTACAAAAACATCATTTATTTCTTTTGTCAAAAAATATTCTAATACTAACTCTACTTTGAGTAGAGACTGTTTTTATTTTATTTATATTATGATGTTTCTGTACACAACTGTTTTGCAGTGTTCTTGTAGAATGTGTACTTGATGTTAAAGAATCTTCTTGCTTTTTTTTTAAAATGTTGAATATTTTAGAGGGTTTGGGTGTCAAGCGAGACTACAAATTAGCCATTAAAAACTTTGGTTTAGCATCAAAATCAGGAAATTTGTTGGCTTATTACCATATGGCACAAATGCATGCAACTGGTATTGGTGTATTGCGTTCATGTCCTACGGCTCTTGAGGTATGGTATTAATATTTATTATTTGATTTAAGAAAACAAAGATTCATAAAGCTCTTATGATAGACCAAGAAGAAAGTAGTATCTACTAGTGGAGATATATGAGCCGGGGAAAAGGAAAGTGGCGTAAGTCACATATAAGTTGTTTTGAGAAATAGAAGAATTGCGTTTTGTATTTCTACAACTTTGTATAAACTAACAAAATTTTAAGTAGCGCTCTCTCGCGAACAAAGGCTCCACTTGACTAACTCCACTGACTAAATGACTCTTTTAGATTATACTAATAAGCCCTAGCGATATTGCGGATTTTTTTAAAAATTTTGACTTACGTCACTTTCATTCTCACCGGCTCATATAATGTTAACTATTAGAGGCTATTACATGATTAACTAACTCGAGTTTGCGAATTTTATAAGTAGAGACAGAGATGGTATTATTTGTGTTTAAAAATTGTCATGATAATTTTTCAAATAAAAAATTGTAAAAAACACCAGCACAGTGGTGGCAGAGCATAATCAATGTAGTCACACTAAGTTATTTTAACTGAGAGTGATGAAATAAATCTTAAATCAAACACTTAATTTTTGGAATTTACCAATGTAAAATCATTGTAAAGGCAATAATGTGCTTAAAATTATATTTTATGTATTAGGGTTAATTGTCTATGATAATTTGTCAAGTTTTAATTTATATTTATTTTAAATATAACATTTTTTCTTTTAAAATGTCATCCCTTCCCATTCAAAAAACAGTAGATTAACTGAACCCATTTTAGCTTCAATGAGAAATTGAAATGATATTAATTTTTCGATATAATTTTTTTTTCCCTTTTGTCTAGTCTGTATCTACTGTACTTTTGAATCCCAGCACTAATTTGCAACTCAAAAATTGGGTCTGCTTTATACTCTAAGGGTAAAATTGAAAAAACTTCACGTTTTAACTTTGGTACGCCAAATAAATATTTTTTTTTTAATTTTGACTCGATGGCCCATATTTCCCAAAGTTATAGCATATTAAGTTGAAAGATAAAAAATTAGCAAATTATTTAGGGGTTTGTTCTATTTTTTAAAGTAAAAGTCATTTTATCACTTTATTGAAATAATTTCTAATAACCTGCGGGATTCGGTGTTATTATTATTATTTTATATTGTTAATCCTTGATTATACATTTTTTAGCTCGACTAAATTATTAATAATATTTGTAAAAACAATAATTTTAATTTTAATTGAGTTTGTAAATTATAAATACTTAACTAGACAAATGATGATGTTATAACTAACATAGTAGCACAATAATTAATAACCATTATATCCAAAATTATTTGAAAAAAATTGCTCTGTATAAATGAATTTCTTTGATATTGTTGTTATAGTTGTTTAAAAATGTAGCAGAACGTGGTAAATGGGGTAGCTATTTAATGCATGCGTACAATGCATATAAAGAAAATGACTTTAAAGAATCGTTTGTACTGTACTCGTTTTTGGCAGAACTAGGATATGAAGTTGCACAAAGTAACACTGCATTTATATTAGACCGAGGTATTTCATCCTTTCCTTTTATTTGTATTTTTGTTGACTTTTATTAAATGTTACACTATATCGTTTAGGTGATATAAACTTGTGGGAATCTGAAAAAGAACGTTATGTTCGTGCAATGATGTATTGGAGCCGATCTGGAGCCCAAGGATATGCAGCAGCACAATTAAAGCTAGGCGATTATCATTATTATGGTCTTGGTACTAAAGTTGACTATGAAATGGCTGCCAACTATTATAGACAGGCATCCGAACAGCATCACAATGCCCAAGCAATGTTTAATTTGGGCTACATGCATGAGATGGGACTAGGAATGGAACAAGTACATATTATACTTAAAAGAAATATTACATTTTTATTGTTTCTATTAATTTTTTTCCTTATAATATATAGGATATTCATTTGGCTAAAAGATGTTATGACATGGCTGCCGAGACTAGCTTAGATGCAAAAGTTCCTGTATTTTTAGCTCTAGCTAAATTAAACCTATTGCATACTTTTGGCCATTATTATAATGTAAGATTTAAACAAAAAAATATATTATTTTTGTAGGGAGTTGTTACTAAATTAATATGTATTATTACAGGAAATTTCTAATATCATGACAATATTATCCAACGACATTGCTGTTCCAATAGGTTTTAGTTGGGATTTATACTTGATAGCTGTATTATTTGCGCTACTTTCATACATAATATATTTACGAAGACCTAATAGACAAGTACAAAATACGTGATGAATGAGATACAGTATACAGTCAAACACACATTTTAATAAAAATGTTTTTTCCCAATAACTAGAATTACTAGAAAATTTCTTGTAAGACTGTACTGAGTAATGAAATAAGGTGGGATGATTTTTTTTTTATCAAAAATGTTGTTTAATATTTATTATCCTATCAACTTACTGATTAACGAGAAATTTAATATATACATTTGAGTATGTATATAATTTTAGAAACCTTAATTCTAACATTAATTTTGGTAGTAATGTAATTTTATATTTTGTTTACCAAAAAATGTAAAAATTAATACAAGAGTAATTTAAAAAACCTATAAAATGTTATAAGCCTATATGTTTTTTTTTGTTTATAATAATCATATATTGTAATATCCTTTAAATAATCTATTTCTTTTTGTCTATTGATAGGTAAAATTGTTATTGCTTTTTTTTTTTAATATGCTAAGTAAATTGTGTTTTATTGTACTTAGATTTAACATTTTTATTTATATTTTACCCTTAAAAAGTCTGGACGCAACCATTTCCTTTACTCAAAACATGTCTTAAAAAAAGCAATAGTAAAATGAAGTGATCAAATTTGTAGAATTTCTTTTTCAAAGATGACACTACAGTTGTTACAAGTTTTAAGATTTTTAAAAATTCAATTTCTAATCATCTTATTAAAAGTTATGATTTTGCATTTTATTTTGAGCTGGCTGTGTAGCTCTTTGTAATGAAATTATTAAAATTACATTTCTCAATTACTTTTATGTATTATAATTAACAAAAGAACAAGTGGGTAAAGCGGCAGTATGTTAAATTTTGGTTCTCACTGCTGCTGCTTGTTCGACACTGGACTATACTCTTAATCTCTCTCTGGGCAGACCATAGACCTATAAAGAAATGGACTGATAGTAGAGAGAGAGAGAGAGAGGTCCGAATATCGACATCGTTAAAAAGAGACAGAGAGAGTTGTAAGGTATATCATGAAGAAATAGTAATATGATAATACCCGGTAATGAAATTTTTATATTAAAAATGTTTAATTCATCTTATTAAATTATTGAATTTTTATTGTCATCAGTTTAATTTCTCATAATGGTTTTCCAATATAAAATTGGAACTCGACGGCCGCTTTTAGGTACTCTGTGTTTGACCTTCTCATTACATGCCCAAACCATTTGATTCTTTTTTTAAGTCGACAAATACCTGCCACACATTTTGTTTGTATTCAAACTTTTTTTCTATATTCTGCCCAATCACCGACAGCTGATCTATTGTCAATTTCCTTTTTTGAAATTCCACATTGGTACTCCCCTTATATACTAATAGTATGTAAAACAAAATTACCATTATTTTAGTATAATAATAATTTACCAACAGTAAATTAGAGTTTGTAGAGAAAAACTGTTTTTCAAAACATACTCACACGTTTTATAAAAAGTAAAACAGAATGTTCATTGAAAAAATCTGAATGAAATCGTAATGATTTTTAAGTATTTATTACCGATGTACTATACATATATATTTAAAACAATACATCATACGAAAGCATTGGATACCCGACAAAATAATGAAGTACATATCCTTAAATGCTTTACAACTTCGAATGACACAATAATAAATAATAATTAAAAATGATTTAATTATTATATATTTCCATGTGTGTGTATCGTCATATATATATATATATCAGTGGCGGTTCTGGCATTAAATTGTTGAGGAGGCAACAACTTTGTACCCTTATTGATAAAAAAAGCGCAAAACCCCAACACCTAAAATTTCTCTTAAAATACTTCCCTTTTTTAACTGTAACAGAAGACTTTTGCTTATTATCCTAGTTATTAGTTATAATCGCATTACCGGTCATCTAATAAAATAATTATCATTAAAATGTACGAACTTAAGATAAATGTATAATCATAAAAACATATGTAAATACAATTTACAAAAGATGAAATTTTAATCGCAAACGATTTTCTGTATGTATGTTGCTTAATAACCACTATACTGTCATGTACAGGATTCATTTTGAAAAAAAATAATAAAGCTAATAAGTATAATAATATATTAACTAATAACTTAAGAAAAATAAATAAAACGCCAAATAGTAAACCGGTATCAGAATTAAGTAAAAAATATAGTGATATCAAATTGCTGATAAATGATTTAGTGATAATGGGAAATGGCGTTTTGTTGTTGGCAGTGTCTGTGCTGATGTACATGCTGAATGTCTATGCCCCATTTCTTCCCCAAGATAAGAACGATTATCGGTCAGTTGTCCACAGAGGCAATATTTTTGTGTCGCCTCTCGCAGAGAATTGCGCATGCGCTGTTCGTATTATTTTATGTATGTACGTGTGTGTGTGTATGTTGTGAACACAACAACATAACGTGAGATATTAGCGGCAGCCGCCTCCGCCCTTATGCTACGTGTGTAACAACAGGCAGCGGCCGTTGCTTCCAGACGGTCACCGCTGATATGGAGAGACGTTATTTCAAATTCTTAAATTTTTTTTTCGCTTTCAAAAATTATTGCTCGTATACATTTTTTGATTGGAAATATTTATTGTAAACCAAAATATCTCATCATAATAACAATATTAAGTACATAGTTTCCTTAATTTTCAAGGGAGGCACCGCCTCCCTTGCCTCCCCGGGAAAACCGCCACTGATATATATATATATAATTTTATTATTCTACGTCTTTTAAATTTGTATTCCATGGGAAACCCAACAACGGCAGTATAGAAGGGTTGCGTGGGAGGCGCAGTCCATATCTTTACAGGTCTATGGTTTATGATAATTAGCCGGTTTATCAGTGAAAGATTCACGATTTATCCACAAGGAGCGCTAGCAGTCACTGATTTCAATATTCTTACATAAGAACCAAGGTGGATTTATAAATCCACCTAGGTCTATGCTATATACTCTATTCAGAATAAGAACAGGCTTCGGCGGCCGACTTGTGCGCATGGGCGTTGCTTGACTACGAGCAACGAACCTCGAACACTGCCGCCGGTAGGGCTACAGACGAAATGTATAATGGGCGGTGCCTGACCGCCGCCCGACGAAAACTGGTCGGCCGCCGAAGCCTGTTCTTAATCTGAACAGAGTATAGACCGACTGCCGAGTGTCAACGACGTGCAACCAGTTTGAAGTTTATCGATAGCCACGGCCATGGCCGTGATCGTGACGACCCGCCCGCAGGCCGCAACTCACCTATAGGTGCTCCGTCTAGTGTTAAAAGGTCTCTAACTGCAACACTGTTTTTTGAGTTGATGCTGATAATATAATTATTATTTTATTATTATCACATTGAAAATGATAAGTCCTTGAAATTTGTTTTCCTTATTAAGTTTTAAACTTTTGATATGTTTTTTAACGCCGATTAGATAATTTGTAGACATTTTTGTTGTAATAGTACTGTTTTGCTTAGTATTAATGTAATCTAGCAGTATTTTTATAAGTTTATTTTTTGAAATGCCCGAGTGGGAAAATTGGTTCGAGATTGCCAAACAGTGCAAATATTTGCCAGAAAATGATCTTAAGGTGGTATTGTCTACTTAACTACATTATTTTTATATGAATTTATAATAGTTTTTTTGTTTGCCTTTTTTTAGAAATTATGTCAGATTGTTTGTGATTTATTAATAGAAGAGGCAAATATCCAACCAGTTAACACTCCAGTTACTGTTTGTGGGGATATACATGGACAAGTAAACAATAATTATATTTTTATTAAGAAAAATAATAGTATTATATGTTAAAAACCAATTTTTTTTTTATTCAACTTTTAATATTTAATTAAAATATAAAATAAATAAACAAAACCTTTTTTAAGTTTCCACATAGATATTTAACTCCCGTCTATGCTTGTTGAAATGTTCCATTCTATTCTAAAAAGCGTTTTAAAATGCTCTATTCTTATAATGATACATTATTATAATCTACTACTTTATAAAATTTAATCCAAACAAATATTACTGGTATTGCATCTTAATTTTTTATCTAAATAAAATATAATAGATTTAATATATATAACGCATATTATGTTTTTAGTTTTATGATTTAGAAGAGCTCTTTCGAAATGGTGGACAGGTTCCAGATACAAACTATGTTTTTATGGGAGATTTTGTAGATCGTGGTTACTACAGTCTGGAATCGCTGACTAGACTATTAACTCTTAAAGCAAAATGGCCTCATCGTATAACATTATTAAGAGGCAACCATGAATCTAGACAAATTACTCAAGTTTATGGATTTTACGGTATAGTTAATTATTGTTTTTAATATAGTTAATTTGATCAGTGGCTTCAAGTTTTAAAATTTCATGTGAAGCAGTCTTAAATTTAAACTACTACTCGGCCCTCAAACTTTTTTCAATACTTTTTAGGCCATATAATACCATTGTTTTCCTTATAATACTACGATTCTTTTATATGAAGAGGTCGGTTCAGTATAGTTATATGTTCATTGCTACTATACATGATCAGTTTAAAATTTTATTTACTCTCTCTATGTTTAAACGTCCATTAATCCCACCGATCGGGGCATAAACGGTTTAGATTTGGCATTTTTGAGCTAATAGCTAGCTGCCGACCTAACACTACCATACAAGTTAGCTACTGAAAAATGTGCAGGTGGCCATTTCTTACCCCCAGACTGTTGCCCGCCCGGAGCAACAAACTACTAGTGGCTAAGATTCGAACCAGCGACCATGTGTTGGTTTATTTCCGCTATTTCTCACTCCGCCAAGCGCCTGCCTTAAAATCTAATTTACTAATGTATAAAAATTATATTATTTTTTAGATGAATGTATGAATAAGTATGGCAATGCAAATGTATGGAAAGAATGTTGCAAAGTTTTTGACTTGCTCTCTATTGCTGCGGTGTGTATTGCATGATTTATATTATTTGAAACTTAATCTGTTGTACTATTTTGCTTATTGCACATGGTCAAAAAAGTGGAGCACTGAAAATAGTTATTTGTTTTTAGAACTGTGACATAGTTTATATTATATAGTATGCCTCTAAGGTCCTGACCTAACGCCACTGTTCTCAAGGAAATACCAAATATCTCTCTTAATTAAGTCATCTATTACTTAATTACTTATAATGTTGAACAAATAACTTGACTGTGTTGTTTTATAGAAAAACTACAAAATTGTATTTGATTTCTGATAAAATGAGTGTCTTACATTAATTAGATCACCCATCATATAAACCTTATTTTTATTTTATTAAATATTTAATGTTATAATAATTTTGATGAAATAGTATTTGGGGTACAAAAGTAATATTGATAAATTGTGTATTTATTTGGAATAGTGTAAATTAATTGCAATGCAATATAATATCTATGTAACTTTTACTAGGAATTATTCAGAAAGTATTTACTTTATGTTAGTATAGACTTGTCTTTTGGGGAAATAAAAAATTGTCTGCTTATTAACAGTTGTTCTCTAAAAAGAGGTTTACTCAAATTTCATTACCAACAAACAATATTATAACATAACCGGTAGGGCTCAGTATTAATAGCATTTTCAAATTGAACAGAGTACAAAGTTTATAGTTAGTAGCAACTAATACACTAGCATACTAAACATGATGTATTGAATTTTTAGACTAAACAAATATATAAATACTTAAAATCTATTTCTTAAAAAAAAGTTGTTTATATTTCCTTCTGTAAAAAGTAAATATAGTTACGCAGAATGTGTTTGACTCAGTCCATGGTGGTTTTAGAGCAAAACCACCTACTATGAAATTGAAAAAGATTTACATTTTGTTATGAAATGTTATATCCATTTTTCAATATGTTTAATGTTAATTAATTATAAAGGTACACCATTTATTACTTTTTCTAGGTTATATTTTAAAAAAAACAATAATTTTGTTCCAAAATGTTATCCCCTATTGATTTCTTTATAAGTGTAGAAAATCATAGAACGAGTAAAACGCGTTTGCTTAGAAATTTGTTTACGCTTAGGGTTATTAGTTATTATACCTTATTAAAAAATGAAAAAGGTAACATCTATCAGTGTTGTAATTTAGGATTTTGAAAGTTCTATCCCTTAAGTTATACAGGAAAAAGACCTTAACGATTCTTAAAAAGAAAATGCAGGTTTTTATTTTTGTCATATGTATTCTGCATTGATACACCTACCCATTGATTTGCTATTTGTATTCAACGTTTAATATTATTATTTTTTATATCATTGTTAAACCTTTAGGTGTTAATTATTTTTTATTAACTTTTATAGTTTATACTAATAAGCAGATAAAATAACATTAAACAAAAATTTAACTTTTATATTTTCAGAATTGTGATGCTTTTTTGTAATAATAATTTTTAATAACAACCAAACTTTGTGTTCCATGATTTAATTTTTTTATCTTTAAAATAAAAATGTGAATAGAAAAAAAAACTTGTTTATGTAATCATAATTTTATTCATTTATATAGCTTATAGATGAAGAAGTGTTCTGCGTTCATGGTGGTTTATCTCCTGATATTTCAACGTTGGATCAAATCAGAGTTATAGAGCGAAATCAAGAAATTCCATATAAAGGTATTATGCTGTATTTCAAACATTACGTACTTTATTACAAATAGTTTTTTAAGAAAACAGTAGAATGATCGGTTACATCTTAGGCTTGCTTTAATTATATTACTTTCTTCATTGAAATTAAATATGTACAATATTTAATAAAATATTAAACACACCAACACAATAATATGTAAATAAAATTGTCGTTATATTTATTAGTTTTTAATTGCTAATTAAAAACTAGTGTAGTATTATGTATGACTGACAAGTGTGGCTGCAAACAAAAATATTTTGATTATATATTTTTGACAAATACATCACTACTTTGATCCAAAACGGAGAAAGTATTAATACTAGTTAATACTATTGAAAAGCAATAGTACATTTTTTTAAGTACTTAACTAATTTAAAAAATGTACATTTTTAGGAGCATTTTGTGATTTAGTGTGGTCGGATCCTGAAGAAATTGAAAAATGGCATGTTAGTCCACGCGGTGCTGGCTGGCTGTTCGGATCTAAAGTTACTGAAGAATTCATGGAAAAGAATCAGTTAGAGTTAATATGCAGAGCTCATCAACTTGTCAATGAAGGTAAATAATAAAATTAATTACTTGACCCAACACTATTCAATTTTCTAGCATTTAATTTATTACTAGTTAGTAATATGTTTTATTATTTTTCAGGCTTCAAGTATATGTTTAATGATAAATTAGTAACCGTGTGGTCAGCACCTAACTACTGTTATCGGTGTGGAAATGTTGCATCTATACTAGAATTCTCTACGGTACACAATCGCAAACCAATATTGTTTAATGCAGTTCCCGATGAACAAAGAGTCATTCCGGATAAGGCTGCTACACCTTACTTCTTGTGATAAGATATAATAAATATATAATTATTTATCAATGAATTTCAAATGATTTAAGATAAACTGATCTATTTTTTGTAAAATTATACTCTTGTATGTCAAAATGGTTACAGTTTAAGATATGTATCCCAAAAACATTAAAAATGAATGATTTTTAAAATGTTGTTTCATCTATTTATTTTTGCTTTTATATTACTCATATATAGACTATTGTTATAATTTGTCTTCTAATTATATAGTTCATTATATTCTAGGTACAATACAAAACAATATTATAAAATATAAACAAATTAGTAAATTTGATAACACAAATGAAAATCATAACAGTATTGCAAAATTACTACATATTACATTATTATTTGATTCCATTCTACATAACCATAAGTAAGAATAATTGAAGATTTGAGTGGAAAATAGTGTTAAGTTATACCTAATTATATAAACATTGTTTTTGTTGCATGGGTAAAAAGTGTAGTAATAAAATACACATTGTAGCAAAATATTAGGCCGATTATTCACTATTATATTATATTATATGGAAAAACAATAATTATTGCAATAGACGCATCACTACATTAATATGACCTTGTATTATCGACAAAGTTGATTTCTGAACATTTAACAACAATGCCATCCAACACTTATCTAACTTCAATTGATAGTTGATACTTATTCAGTAGACAGTATGAATTATTAATAAATTCCATGGGGATTCTATCGGCTGATTATATTTTCTGGTAGCCTCAGACACTTGGGCTCCCTTCCCTCACTCATTGAAATAAAACCATCCTTTTATAAACTCTCTACATTTTTAAATAATAGTTAATGTTATATTTGTATCAAAAGCAGTACACACCGACGGTCATTACAAGTTGGTACTAGCAAGTAGCATAAATTAAATATACTATAGTATATTTAATGTTTGGTACTAGTGTGTTAATTAAGAATAATTTGAAATATTTTATTTTGTTAAGGGAAAAGTTTGGCTTACCTAATCTAACGTTAGATGAAATATCTAGTTAATGTATTTTTAGTATTTATAGTAGTTAATGTATTTATTGATATAATATTTTCTTTGTAGTACTCGACTTATATTTTCTTACACCATTTATGTGTTTTGTCCAAAGGATGAAATCGCAGAATAGATTAAATTTAGTCTATAATTTATATACAAGATGAATTGAAATAAATATTTAATTTATATTATACTAAAATACTAAAGTTTTAACGTTTTTAGTGGGTATTTAATTGTACATGGTAATAAATAAATACATTTAAAAAAAACATGCTTTTCTAAAAAAAAGTAAAAAAGTGAATTAAAATAAAAATTTTACTACAAGAACAATTTACCGATCAATTGTAGTACATTTTTTTTTAATGTCAATTACTTTGAAAACAATCGAAAATTAACTACAATTTTAAATAATGCTATAAGCATCTTTAATTTTTGGCTAAAAAGAAAAGCATGGGCACTATTCAACAAAGTCCCTAATAAATTTGTCAGATAAAATTTCAGATATTGTTTTATATTGTAAGTTTTCTTGTAATTCAAATTTATATATATACATATAACATGAATAGCTTAAAACTTAATGAATTTGGACTTTGTTGAATAGGGCCCACGCTTTTCTTTTTTAGTCAAAAAATTAAAGATGTTTAACATTATTTAAAATTGTAGTTAATTTTCGGTTGTTTTTAAAGTAAAAAAGTTTTCATTTAAAAAAAATGTGCTACAATCGATTGGTAAATTGTTGTAGTAAAATTTTTTTTAAAGTTTTTTAATTTAATTTTTTACTTTTTGTCCTATTAAAGGTACTGTGAATAGATAACTAATTTTTATTTTGGATGATTTGAAGAACATGAAACTTTAGTGAAATTACCTAAAATTTTAGGTGAATTAACTAAAATTACAGACTAAAAGGGAATGGGGATATATATATATTATATAGTTACACATATTGTTGAAATATTACTTGTATTTTCCTATTACCTGCATTTTTTTGTTCCGCCGTCCACGGAACGTTATAAAAAATTTCGATTTTCAAAAAGTCTTACTACAGCGATTTCAATTTTCCTAAAGTAACCTGATAATAAATCGTATTATTATCCTGATGCTCAAATTTTGGTATTAAGACCGTTATAAGAGTTGTTTGCGAGCTCAGAAACATCAAACAAGAATGTAACAAAATGCATTCAATTATACAAATTACCTAAGTTAAATTATTTTAACCATGACAAATGTATTATTATTATAATTTATAAATCCTAGAAACAAACAGCTTTAGAGCTTTAAACAGTGGCAACCGGCAGGTCCTAAGTATAAAATAAGTAAAATACATTACGTAAACATTTTTTACTGAAAATGTTCACCAGCCGAAAAACGAGTTTTTAAGTTTAAAATTTAATAAGAAGGGTGGAGGTGGAGTGAAGAGTTATTTTTATGTGCGTGCATTACTCTACCGCACTACGCCTACCGTCATTAATTTTAACCTTAAATAAATAAAAATAATAATTCAAAACTGGTTATGGACCAGTCAAAATTTTCAGTAAATTATTCTTAATTTAAAAATTTAATTAAATATATATATTATGTTGCCATTCGATTTTCTAAAGTTGATGAAGCTCTAAAAAATACAAAAAAAAAGAGAAGTCATTAGTACACTAGCTGTTAGTGTGAGTACTAAAAATAATTCCTATCTTATACTATTGTATGTATAATTTGAAAAATCGGAAAACCGCCACTGTTGGCATAGCGATAAGTGTGTCAGGCCGAGAGCAAAACGGGAGCGCGCAAGTATACACCTACACCTAACCACTTCGGTATATTGATTAAAAAGGGTAACAACTCTACAAGGTTAGATTCGTTTTAACTGGGTCATTTGGGGCCTCTGGAAACGGCCACTCGTTCTCGGGATAGAAACTGTTTACTTGGAAGACGGCGCGTCACGACGTACGCTTGTTTTTATTTACATATAAGTATTACTGGAAATAAGAATTCGTAATAGGCTCATCAAATCGGTGCCAGCCAATTTGTCCAACAAAAAACCCCTGTGCAATTGGGGGGGGGGGGGATAAACCCCATTATGTTTGCACTTTTTTCGAAATAATTCGTAAACGGTTGACGATTTAAGCGGACAACTTCAAATTAGTAAATTGTAGAGGATTATATTTCCTACAATTTTTATAGGTAAAACGTATTGTTTGACCCCATATAGGTACCATGTAGATACAGAGTTTCAAAAAGCGCACAATTTCTCAAAATCGTAAAAAACTGCTAAAAAGGCTGGTTTTTAATATTAAATTTCCTTTTCGCTACATATTTAATGGAGTTATGGTATCTAATTATATTTTTATACGTTCAACTACCCCCCCCCCCTCGCCACGACCTCTTCCTCTTATGGGATGATCATTTTGTACAGTGTACATGTAAGTGTAATGTTAAACCTTTAAAGATGTTCATTAGGTTGACAAAAAAAAAACATTAAAACACAGTATTTTTGTAATATATTTCTCCAACAAAAGGAACTTTACAACAACGCTAATGATAGAAATGACAGCGAAGGGGAATGAGGTGAAACAGGCTACTGAAGATGCAGTATTATAATATTATTTTTTTTATATTAAATATTTGTATAAGCAGAGGTTTTAATACATAAACAGGAAAAATATTAGAGGGCGCTTATTTTAAAATTTGGGGTGCTAATACCCCCTAATTGCACTTATGATTATTATATTCAGTAGCTCATGCAAGATCGACCCACAAGATATTCTCTTTCTGCACGCAGTAAGTGAGTGCGACATCACTTGTAAGTTGTAACCATTGCACTTTTTCGAAACTTAAATTCAATATTTAATACAAAAAACAAAAATCATTTTTGCAGAGTTGATATCAATACTATTTAGTACTTTAGTATTATTTATCAATATCACGTGGCTCTCACTTTCCCCATTAGTTCTGCATCTTGTGAACGCTCGTTTTCTGCTTTAAGAAAAATAAAGATTTGGCTTAGGGTTTTAATGAAACAGGACAGACTTACAAATTTGCCAATATTATAAATAGAAAATACATGACACATTCGCTGTCATTTCTGTCGTCAGCATTGTGATAAAGTTCCTTATGTTGGAGAAATATATTACAAAAATACTGTGTTTTAATGTCCTTTTTTTCAACCTAATGAACATCTTTAAAGGTCATTCTGGATAATAGCTGTACTAGTGGACAGACGAGCTGGGTTATTTTATGCTCTTTCAAATCTTACATGTACACTGTACAGTATGACCGTCCCAAAATAGGAGAAGATCGTGGGGGGGGGGGGTAGTTGAACGTATGCAATTAGAATTCTATAAAACTCTGTATCTCGGTACCTATATGGGGGAAAAAAAATACGTTTAACTAGTAAAAATTGTAGGAAATATAATCTTCTACAATTTACTAATTTAAAGTTTTTCGCTTAAATCATCAACCGTTTACGAATTATTTCGAAAAAAGTGCAAACATTTTGGGGTTTTTCGCCCCCGTCCCAATTCCACAGGGTTTTTTTGTGGGACGAATTAGGACTTAATATTACATGACGATTGAAACTGTCACTGAACCGCCGTAATGACTAATAATTTCATAATAACCCATGAAAATCACTATTTATAAACTGTGTGCCACAATAATGATAAAAAAACACGATATACTTTGTAATTCGGATAAAAATGTCCATATCAATAATTATTTTTAATATAATTATTTATTACGAGTAAATATTTTTAAGGGGAAACTCACTTTCAGTCTCCCTCCCTGACGGGTCGCCGCAGCATACTATATAGCGTATCTATTATTTGGCCTCTAGTCTGTAAATGTAATATAAGTCGATAACAGTATTTTTGCACTTACCGTCCGTTAGGTACTGCTCATGTAGTAACTAGTATTATTAAGTACACAATTATTGACGAATAACTATTTAGACCATGGTGGAATATCTAATTGTTGTTTTCAGTATAACTTCCTATTAGATCCTACTGATTGGTGATTGTAGACAAAAATTGGTTCTAGTTAATTCTAGTTTCTCAACCATAAACCTTAAACGTGTCACATCATCACCGCCGTGCGAATGTGTGTCAGCCAAACACTACAAGGTCACGGTTGTGGTAGGGTGCGTCGAGGAAAATTCAAAATTTGCTGGGCGAATTGCGGGAAATACATATGGGTTCTAGTAAACGCTAAACAGTGCCCGGGGGCATTAGGATTAGGTTCCCTCCTGTTTTCCACCCTCCATCTACATTTGCACTTGTTCAAACGAAAACGCAGTTGGTTGTCTCGTTCGGCCCGTAGATGTACAGTTATTTATGAATATTAAAAAAATTATATTGTAACGGAATGTCGTACGTGATTATTATTTCCTAGTGTCGGCATCGTTGCGAGATTAAAATTCTAATCATAGAATATTATATAAAATATATTGTTATCTGCATTGTGGGCGTTATACGCGGGGCAGGGCTGTACTTTGTCGATATTACACACATACAAACATATCACTACGTCCTGACACGGGCGCCAGAAGAATCGATAAAGGGTCGGTGGCGGTTGTGAAGGCGCTGCGAGCTTTTCCTTCGATATCGGGTGGGAGGGGCTTGCCGTTTCTACCGCGTCGACGACTGCTGTCCGGTCAGCCGTCGTCGACGTTTTAAACGATTCGTCCGAAACTATTAATTTATGTTTCGTTTTTGTGTTTTACAGCGCACGAGGCGAAAACAATTTGAAAATTTGCAATCCGGAATAAACGAACAATTTTTTCGACTAAAACCGAGTGTTGGTGTCCGTCGAAAACGAGTTCGAGTCGTCGGGCGTTTGAATTTGGGCGCGCTCGTGGCACCGAACAGCGTTGGTCGGCCGCCAGGTTTGTTTTCCGTTCGTAGTCAGTCGGTGTCATTCGGATTCCGAGAGCGTTTGGCTAATCGTCTTCCCCGTTTACACATCACACGGCGCACGTACACACACGCACACGCACACACACACACACTTCACAGTCCACAGTGCACACAACAATAATAGTGTTATTATAGTCATCGTTCGGGATCGTTGCGCTGCTGCTTCCGTCCGTATGTTTTGCTGGTGACGTATTGCGCCCGCGGTTGGTGTGTGTCGCCGTGTGGTCCACGCAGGGACGTTGGACATTTAAGTATTCGTTGCATAAATCGCCCGTGTGTCGTTTGATCGTCCGGTGTAGTACAAGCTCGGGCGCCTGCCCGACACCCGTACCCGCTAATAATGGCTGGCAATATGGGTATGGAGCAGTTGATACCGATCGTCAACAAGCTGCAAGATGCTTTCACGCAGCTGGGTGTGCACATGCAACTGGACTTGCCCCAGATAGCCGTGGTGGGCGGACAGAGCGCCGGTAAAAGTTCCGTGCTGGAAAACTTTGTCGGAAGGTAATCTACTACCCATTGCCTTCAAACTCATTTGTACCTTAAGTTTGTGCAAAACCCCATATGGTAACGTTCGACAATTTTTTCATAAGTGTCCGAACATAATCGGTAGTCTTACTTGTTGTTCAGATCAGCTTTGTGGGTTTATACTTCATGATCGTAATCCCTTAGAAATAAATCTACAGATAACCTTATGGAAAAATACATTAGGAGAGTTGTGTGAAGGTAGAAATTAATGTTATTGGAATCATCTTCTTATTGATATAGAATTCAATTCAATTATAATTCTTTAAAAAAAAAAAGTTATTAAGACAATTTTGTAATTACCAATTTGCATTATTCTATTTTTTAGTAATTTTCTTCATCACAGTGACTCTGTCATGCTCAGTTATCCTAGGAAAATTAAAACAAACAATACCTAGGTAATAGTTTTTTATGTTATATTGATAAAAAAGTTCCAGTAATTACAATATTTATTAAGAGATAACTTTTTTTTTTATTAAAATAATGTTATTTTAATTATCATTCAATGAGAAAACATAAAATTTACATTATTTAATAGGTTTATCAGATAGGTATTTTAATACTGCCTATTTAGTATTAGATTTGAAGGGCTACATTTTTATTTGCTCGGCTAAGTTCAATACATCTTAAATGTTATCTAAATTAATCTTTTTTCCTCAACTTTTGTCACTTTAAAATATTATTCAACATAATAAATTTATCTATGTTAAAATTTATGAAACTAATCATCTAAATCATATTTACTGAGAAAATATCATGTGAATGTGTCATCAATAGGCTTTATAGCGTGTCATGAATCACACATTTTAATTGAACACCTCAGCATCCTATACCTAAAACCTATATGTTGTACTTATAAAAATGATAACAAGTATTTTGCTATATTTCAGAAGCTATTATTTATAAAAAAAACACATGAAACAATAGAAATTACTTAAAATAATTTATCATTTGTATTTACATTTTTTATTAAGTTATAATAAATAAACTTTTTTATTATTTATGTAATTATATGTTATATTAAAGTATTGACATTTGCTTGGTCTAATTATTCTTACTACTTTTACATGTGAGGTTAAAACCAATTTAGCGTAATCTGAATTAGCTAACTCCTTAAGTTAAGAAAATATTATTGGCTGTTAATCTGGAATAGTAGAAAATGGGTTGGCTTAAACCGAATTAGTAACTCCACGTTTGAAATTCGAATTAAGAATAACTCCTATAGTTAAAAATGTTTGTAAATAGTTTTTGCGAAAAAGAAACCAAAATAGATTTCTGGTGAATAAATAGAATTATAAAAATTATTTTGGCGACTAAGTTGCCATCTTCAATGTTAACCGCAAACTCATCCGCAGTATCATTATAATGTAGTATAATTTTATTTTTTTAGCTTTAGTGGAAATTGATATATTTAAAAAAAAATATTATTAACAATTAATGTGAAAAAAAGAACTAATTATTTGGCTAAAGTGAAAACTAGGAAAGAAAGAAATTCTTGATAAAATTATACATAATATTTATAGTTTATGTATATTACTAAGTTAATAAGATATGTAGCTTTGCTCAAGTTTAATATCTTAATGTAATTAAGTGTATATTCCCATTTTCCAGTTTAAACACATTAGTTAGCATAAGTTACCTACATTTGAATAATGTTTAATTTAAATAAAATATTATTCAAATAATTATGTTTGGAATTATTCGAATAACTTTTACTTGAATAATGTGTTATCTAGATGATTATTTAGATAATGTTTTATTCAAGTGATGTACATCTGTGGTTACCTAAAAGTTATGTTAAATTTTAAGTGTAAGAATTTACTTATTATAACAAAATGTTCTTGTGAATTTTTAATAATTTTAATGTGCTTTTAGGGATTTTCTACCAAGAGGATCAGGAATTGTAACACGTCGGCCTCTAATTTTGCAACTTATACATAGTACATTAGGTGAGCTTTATTAAATATTTGCATAACATTAATCATTAGTATCTTTATATTCATAATTTGAAACATTTTAATTACCATTAAGTTTACAGAATTACTCAATTAATGAAATTATTTACTATTGATGTATTTAACAGTAACTTAAATTGTACATTTTATTATTCTTTAGTCAAGTGCAAGACAAATATAACATTCTATTTTGTTTCTTCTTATACCTATTTAAATGAGTTAATTTAATGTATGAAATAATAATGCAATTTATTCTTAGTAATGTTATAATTTATTTCAGAATATGGAGAGTTTCTTCATTGTAAGGGAAAGAAGTTTATGGACTTTGATGAAATAAGACGCGAAATTGAAGCTGAAACTGATAGGATGACTGGTTCTAATAAAGGCATATCAAATGTACCTATTAATTTGAGGGTATATTCACCAAATGGTATGTATAATTTGACACTATAACATAGTATTTATTAATAATACGACAGACACATAGCGTCGTCGTCATGCAAAAACTAACTAAGAGTATTTTTATAGCTTTCGTAATATTTTTTCCATATAATAATGTGTATTGTGTTAATAATATAGTTAAAATAACGCATTTCATCATGAGATGGTTTCTTGACAAATTGCTATCCGGGACGGGTCGTCAATCCGTCGCCGGAGAGGGGGATGGTGGTTCCTTTTTACTGGACGATTGCTCGCCCGGCAAACGGAGCGCCCGTGACCGGGTGTCGAACTGGCGACAGTGAGCACTAACACACTGCCGCCTTACCCACTCGGCCACTCCTCCTCTAGGGCAGTATATACAGTAACTGTATATAATTTTTACAATAGATAGAGAAGAACTTAATCTATGCTGTAGCGTTTTTAGTTTTTTTATAACAAACACAATCAAAATTTTCATTTGTAAAAATTAATTTTTTTAATTTGTTTTTGTAAAAAAAAATATTAACCCTCCGTTAGTGTGTTGGGGTTTATTAAACCCCCATGGTGCAAATAAGTTTATTAAAAACCCTGCGACGTACGATTTCTAAATATTTTTAGGCAACACACACTAACGAAGGGTTAAGTATAGATTATCAAAAAAAAAACAATACACCATAGATAAAGTTCTTTTCTATAAATTGAGAATATTTGGTTTATCTACTGTTATTATTGGCCTCACATACTTGTCTTGTGTAAAGTAGTTTTAATGAGAAAAAAAATTATATAGCGTCCTCTTAAGAGCGCGCCACACACCCGTTATTTTCTTCAAAAAACCCGCCTTGCGCGGATTAATTTTTCAAAGGCTGTAATCAAAACTAGGAAACCAAATTTTCACATAATATAGACAACAACATTGTCTGTGTTCTACCATCGCCCTTTTTTTAAATATTTTAACCAGTTAATGAATAATTAATTAATTAATAAAGGACTTTTTTGACTTTTTAAAAATTATATAGCGTTGGTTATATTAGGTATATCGAAAAAATACGGATGATGGAACACAGATAATTTTGTCATAAATAATATATATGAATTTCTTTCCTTAATTTTATATGAAGCCTGAGAAAAATTAATCCGCGTAAAACTCAACTCAACAGAATTTTTTTTTAAAATCACTGTCAAGGATGCTGTAATAGTCCGAAAAATAATTTAACTACTAAAAAAGAGTCCTAACTACTGAACTCGTAGTTACACATCATAGTTTAACATATAAGTTAAAATTTTGTAAAAAATTGCCTATACTTTACTCCTTAAAAATGGGCGGTGTGGCGTCCTCTTAAAAAACATGTCGACAATATATTTTATTTAGTTTTGGTAATTATATTATAATTTTTTCATGACATAATTATTTTATATGGCAGATAAAAAAAAAAAATTTTCTCATTATTTTCTTTCTATCATTGGTTATCTTTTTTTTATGTATAATGGGATGAATAAAACCAAAATTGTTTTAATATAAGTTTTCTTTAATGTATGAAATTTAGAATAAAATTTTAAATGTTCATCAATTTTACCATTATGTTATGGTTGCTGCTTGTGGCTACTGTGAACAGTTCTAAACATCACATTGATCGATTTGCCGGGTCTCACGAAAATAGCAGTAGGCGATCAGCCAGTTGACATTGAGCAACAAATTAAAGAAATGCTGTTCCAATTCATAACAAAAGAAACGTGTCTTATTTTGGCTGTCACTCCAGCTAACACTGATCTGGCTACTTCAGATGCTTTACAAATTTCCAAACAAGTTGACCCAGACGGTAAACGTTGACCGGCCAGTAGCTTTGCACCAATTATGTTTTTTTTTTTTTCATTTTTAGTGCTCATTAGATGTTATGTTGTAATTAATGCTTGAAATATTTTTACATCTTAGCAATGTTCTTCATTTATGTTAATTCTGAGTTTGGGTGGTAAAAAGAAAACCTCGGATAGAACAAATCTTAAAATATAATTTTTTAAACTAATACATGGATGTATCTTGGTGTGATACAGTTACTATGTAAATAAGAATGTCTAAGATAAAAAAAAAAATTCTGGTAGCTGTTTTGTAGTGTTGCTAGTATTATTTTTCAGTATTGAACCTGACGCTTGTTGATTTACCTGGTATGACTAAAGTACCCGTTGGGGATCAACCTGCTGATATAGAATATCAAATACGATCTATGTTACTTACTTTTATTAAACGAGATAATTGCTTGATACTGGCTGTGACACCAGCAAATCAAGATTTGGCCAACAGTGATGCATTAAAAATTTCTAAAGAAGTTGATCCTGAAGGTAAGCCTATAAACTTGTAAAAACAAAAACATACTTCGTATCTATTTTATATATTTTCTAAAATTTCAAAATAATAATTTACGTATAGTCTTTACTATAAATAAACTTGTCGATAACTTCTATTATAAAATAAGATACAAATGTTAAAATTATAACTTATAATACAAGCTAAACTATTTAAATGTGAATATGATGTAATATTTCAAAGGAAGTAAACAATTGTGAAAGTTAATGCATTTTTAGATGAAACAACAGATTACTTATTGGGGTATTATACTATTTTATACTCTGAATTTATTATTATACAGTTGTAGATTCATATGTAAATTAGAACAATGCCTGCATTAAAACATATCATTATTTTTCCTTAGTTTATCCAAGAATATTATAATAAACCAAGAGCACATTAAAATTATTTCACATATTAATGTATTGTTTTTGTTAGATAATTCTTATTAATATTTTAGCTTTTTAGAAATCATTTATTTTATGATTTTTTTTTTTTCCAAAAAATAGCATGATTTACATTTGGTTGAATTATTACTTATTATTTTTTTGCACTTAATTCTCATTTGTTATGTATTTAAAACTTTATAGTTCACACTTATTAATTTAGGAATGCGAACTATTGGTGTTATTACAAAATTGGATCTGATGGATGAGGGAACTGATGCCAGAGAAGTATTAGAAAACAAACTTTTACCTTTAAGACGTGGATATATTGGTGTCGTAAACAGGAGTCAAAAGGACATTGATGGACGTAAAGATATAAAGGCTGCGATGGCTGCAGAAAGGAAATTTTTTTTGGGGTAATGATTATTAAAGTCATTTTTATTTTAATTAAAATGAATTAATACAAATTAATATAAATTAAAATTTATGTTAATTAATTTTAATCCGAAATTGTTTTTAGGCATCCATCCTACAGACATATGGCTGATAGACTCGGTACGCCTTACTTGCAAAGAGTTTTAAACCAACAGCTAACAAACCATATTAGAGATACTTTACCTGGTCTCAGAGATAAGTTACAAGTGAGTTACCTGTATGATTATCAAAACATAGTTTTAACTCAAGACTACTGTAAATATTTGATCTTAAACTGTTTTAATTTGTTTTTTTTAGAAACAACTACTTGCTTTAGAAAAGGATGTAGAACAGTTTAAATACTTTAAACCCGATGACCCAGCTATTAAAACTAAAGCTATGCTACAGTAAGAATAATATATGAGTAGTGCTATATCATTAGTTTCTTATTTGTACTTACATATTTTTTTTACAATTTTAGAATGATACAACAGCTTCAATCAGATTTTGAGCGCACAATTGAAGGTTCTGGTTCTGCTCAGATAAATACAAATGAACTTTCGGGAGGTGCTAAAATTAATCGCTTGTTCCATGAACGTTTTCCATTTGAAATAGTGAAAATGGAAATTGATGAAAAAGAATTGAGAAGAGAAATAGCATTTGCTATAAGAAATATTCATGGTATAACACTAAACATTTCTAGAATTGAACGTAACCTAACATAAGTATAAATTATAGGTATAAGAGTTGGTTTGTTTACACCTGATATGGCGTTTGAGGCAATTGTAAAAAAACAAATTTCTAGATTGAAAGAGCCATCATTAAAATGTGTTGATCTCGTTGTTAATGAATTATCTAACGTTGTTAGAATTTGTACTGATAAGGTAAAAAATACATAGATCAAAGTTTATAAAGTTTTACAATGTGTTAATAAATATGGTATAAAGATGTCTAGATATCCTCGTTTAAGAGAGGAAACTGAACGTATTATTACATCTTATGTCCGTAACCGTGATCAGTTGTGTAAAGAACAGTTAATCTTATTGGTTGAATGTGAATTGGCCTACATGAATACCAACCATGAAGATTTTATTGGATTTGCAAAGTAAATTTATAAATAAATATCTAATATCTTCTTCTAAGTTCTATTTTTTTTTTAGCGCCCAACAGTCAAATGAGAATTCAAATAAAACACATAAGTTAGGTAACCAAGTGATTCGCAAAGGTTGGATGTGCATACACAATTTGGGTATCATGAAAGGTGGATCAAGAGATTATTGGTTTGTGTTGATGTCCGAAAACATCTCGTGGTTCAAAGACGAAGAGGTAAGTTTAAATGTTTAAATATATTGTTCTCAGTTAATCATAAATATTTAATTTCTAATTAAGGAAAGAGAAAAAAAGTATATGTTACCATTGGATGGATTGAAAATTAAAGATGTTGAACAAGGTTTCATGTCACGTCGTCACACTTTTGCCCTATTTAATCCGGAAGGTCGTAATGTTTATAAGGTAAATAATAATTAAACAAAATGTTTAAATGATGAAAGCTATTTTTTGGTTGTATATAAACATGACAGTAGATACTTCAAAATATATTACAATTAATAATGGTTACCAAGGTGATATCTAGAAAAATACATTTTATGAATTTTATTAAATCAATTGAAGTATAGTCTGGAAAGTGTTGAAGCTTTAAACAACCTTGTTTTTAATTTGTTTTAAATTTTGTAAAATTCATTCTAAATAAAAACTTCCGGAGTTTTACTAGTTTAATATCACAATAAATATAACTAAAAGAGCTAGCATAGTTAGAATGGAGCATAATAGGGACGTAGTATAACTCATACTATGTTATCACCTTTAAATAAACACTGATGTAAAATATGACTGAGTAGAGTAATGTGGGGAAAAAAATGGTAACATTTTTATCAAGTTTAAAGGAATTTTCAAAGTTAATGTTTCATGTTTTAGAATCTACTTTTAGTCTAATTTTCAAGACTAAAAAGGTACAAATGACAAAACATATTAGAATAATAATTGTTATTATAAAATATTACATATGGAAAAGCACCAAAATAGTAATTTTACAGGAAATGCAAAAAACTGTTTCAAAAACTATTTATTTATTATTTAAAGATAGGTACGTACGTGACTGGGTGAGATAAGGTAGCAGTGTAATAATACACGTTCGTCATACTATCTGAGCCTCGATTGGTAGTGGATACAAACACTTAAGAAGTGAAAAAAATGACTATTTATTTATTAAAAATTCAGTTATCCAATAAGGGTTGCGGTATAAATCCCTAAACTGATCAACATATTCCACTACGGAGAATAAGATCTCTTTCTTAACCTCATTCAGAGATACTAATCAAAACATAAGCACTTTTTTTACACCATTAGCTATGTGTTTTATGCATTTTAATGATCTTTCAATTATTATTACTTGAATGTTAGATGATTGCAACAATATGCGATACTTTCTTGGAGAAAACGTTTCTTATTATTCCTGAGTTTAATACGTTTCTGCATTTTGCTCAGCAACGGAAACAAAATAAATTTTTTTTTTTCATTCTGACACAAAAAAAAAAAAACAACAGCTTAAATGTACTGATTGATCAAATAAATAGATATAATAATTTAGAAGATACTACAAATTTATATACTTTTATTTAGAATGAAATTAATAATTTGTAGGATTATAAACAACTAGAACTAAGTTGTGAGACACAAGATGATGTGGATTCATGGAAAGCTTCATTTTTGCGTGCTGGAGTTTATCCTGAAAAGACCTCAGATGCATCAAACAGCGATGAGGTAATTATATTTTTTGAATAAAAATTACTGTTAATAAATTGATGAACTCACAATATTTATTTTTATTTTATTAAACTTTTTGATTAGGATGGTCATCAGGTAAGTTGAAAGTTTTATATTTATTTTATAATTTTTATACATGTAGAATATGCAGTAATGTTTTTATCAATTTTTAATCAGTGGCGGATTGTTAACAAAAATCAGCCTGGTAGCCTTCAATTTTATTGCTCTCCTTAAATGTATGTACGTACAATATATATTGGTGATGGGTAATACAAAATAACTACTTAATATTATTATTTCTATTAAATCTATTAAACCTTGGTTTAATCGGGATGAGTGATTTAAAGATAATAAGAGGGGCCCTCCAAGCCGTAATTAAAGTACTGTCTATTCCAGAATACTTGCCGGCCTTATACTGTAAAAATCCGCCACTAAGTTAAGTTTTGAAAAAAAACCTAATTTTAGGCAATGTAATATAAATTACAGAGTAGTTCAGAGTCTACCACATCGATGGATCCAGTTTTGGAACGACAAGTCGAAACAATTAGAAATTTGGTTGACTCATACATGAAAATTGTCACTAAATCTTGTCGCGATCTAGTCCCAAAAATTATTATGCATTTAATTATTAACAATGCTAAAGATTTTATTAATGGAGAACTTCTAGCTCATTTGTATGCATCTGGTGATCAGGTATGTTTATATTGTTAATTTAACATTTGAGATATGTTATAATGATAAAAAAAATAACATGTTTCATATTTATTATATTAATTATAAGCATATTTTCAATATAGGTCATTAGAAAATTGAAACAAACATATTAAGATACTTAAGTTTTTTTGAAATTTAAATAATGGTAGTCTTATTGAGCTGCCCATTTTTTAGTAATAAATTTTTAAGTGAAATGTATGTACTTTTTGGTTTTTATTAGTCATAATGTGTTTTTTTTATTACAAATTTAAAATATTATTGAATTTCTGTGCTAAAAATCCAAATATTTTTTTTTACTGTACAGTTTATTAGAAAACGTGCTTGTTAATTATTGAAACATTAATATTTGTTTATTTTTGTCATTTCAGTCTCAAATGATGGAAGAAAGTGCAGAAGAAGCAGTTAAACGGGAAGAAATGATGCGCATGTATCAAGCATGTAAGGAGGCTTTAAGAATAATTGGGGATGTTTCAATGGCCACCGTAACTACACCTGTTCCACCACCTGTAAAAAATGATTGGCTAGCTTCTAGTCTTGAAAACCCAAGGTAATTTTTAATATTTAATTTTGGTTGTAGTTTATTATTGTTTAATAACTTATTTAGGTTATCGCCTCCAAGCCCTGGTGGTGCCGGACGTAGAGGAGTGCCTTCGACTCAACCTCCTGCAAATGCTGCATCTAGAGCACCTCCTCCACCACCAGCTTCAGGAAGACCAGCTCCAGCTATACCCAATAGACCAGGACCTGAGCAAGGACGGCAACCACCTGCTCCACCTGGGCGACCTAGTGGTCAAGGCTTACCCCCTCCTCTAATACCTTCGTAAGTTAAGAAAAATGTTTTGTTTTCAATAATTCTACAACGCAATTATAATTTCATTTCATTTAACTTATTAATGAAGTAAAAAATATTTTTTTACCCAGTATGTAGCTATACAACTTTACTAAAAATCATTAGCTGTATATCTATGTACTTCATTTTTAGTTCTTACTAACATGTAGTTAGTTAGAGCTACACTAACATTTAACACATAAGGAGCAACGGCGACGGTGTGGTTTTTTAATTTCAGACGTCGCTAGTATGTGTTGTCAAGCATGTCTCCGGTGGCCGTTTAAACAGCAACTTCATTATTAATAAATATAGTTATAACCAATTAAAACATACTCACATAATTAATACATACTAAATTTGGTTCTTCATTATCTATTAAAAGTACTTAAAATACTTTTCATAAAAGAAAAAAATATCTGAAATTAATTTTTATTTTATATCTGTTACACTTGCTAATGTGCTCTATAGAATGTTACCCTGTGTTTTTAAAAAGTCTTTAGTATTTTTTATCTAGGTAATTGTTAAATAATTTGTTGTAAGAATATTATTTTTTAAAAAAATTTCGTATGTTAGAAATTTCAATTATAATACCTAATTTGGTAGTCTTTGCGAAATTTGTTAATTCAAATTATAATTTATATAAAATTAAATATTTATATTAGTATTCATTGAAATAATGTGTGGTGAGATTATGTAATTAAGCACAAATATTCCTGATAAAATTAAAGCAATGAGAGAAATCGTGAAATTTTAAAACTTGGCTTTTATTATACATTCTATAGTTAATAGTTACAATTGTGTAGTATTTGGTAGTATAACAAAATCAAATGACTAGAATAGGCGTCAAAAATTAATATATTCCAAAAATAAACATGAGGTTTGATATTACATACAATACTTTTATAACCATTAATAACAATAATAATTATATTAATATATAAATGAGCTTCATCAAAATATTTTGCTAAGTAAATTATGTCAGAATTTATATTATAAAGATAACTAAAAAAAGACTCGTGTAATTTTGAACTTTTGCAGGTATATCCATGTGATAAATTTGGTGTTGATGTGTCGGAACTATTGCAGATACCATCCTGAGAGCAATATTGACTGTGTGCCCGACGCTGTGTATTGTAGGGTTTACACGTGTCGATTGCAGCCTCACGACTAGACTGCTTGATAGTGTAAATATCAGCAAGTGACTAAAATCGTAAGAGTCAAACGTGAACATCTTTCGACTTAGGTGCCAGGTGATTTCGTGACTAGCCGCATGGTAGAAATCGACCCGTGTGAATCCTACAATATACAGCGATGGGCACCTAGTGAATATTGCTCTCAGGATGGTATCTGCAATAGTTCCGAAACATCAACCCCAAATTTATCACATGGATATATCCACAAAATTTCAGAATATTATAGTAATCGAAAAGAGCTTCAACCACTTCATGAGTTTCATGTGTAGAAAAGTGGTTTAAATAGTTCTACAACTAAATATTTTTTCTAAATTGATATTGCTATAATAAATGCAAGCATAAACATAAAAGCTTTTAAAATGCCTTCATACCTACACTTAAGGTATTAATATTATATTGCTTTAACTGGGAATTATATTGGTGTATTTATTAAAATAAACATATATTGTTGTATATTAATTGAATTTTAGTACAAAAAGTCTGTCGATATTTTAATTTAACTTAATGTCACAAGAATCCCTCTTTTTAATATTTGTAATCAATAAAAGCATGTAATTTAAATAATGGCTAAGCGCGAGTATTCATATTATTGTGGTGGTGATTGGCCAAAATAGGCGAGGATCAATGCCGCAAATACCACAGCGTGTACAGCAGGCGGTTGGTCAAGCTGTTGCACAAGTAGCTGTCAATGAACTCACCAACGCTTTTGCCAATCGTTTTAAGTAAGCCATGTATTTTGCTTACTGGCTGTAAAATACAAAGTATGGTGAGTAATATATTAACTTAAAAAATAATTTTTGAACAAAAACTATTAAATAAATTATAATAATTTGTCACGTAAACAATTTGTGAAAACTTATAACAAATGTTCATGAATATTTATTTGAGGGTAGAGGCAACGTTGTGCTGTGTTAAAGATAGTTATTTTGCAAGAAAGTAATTTTGTTTAAAAATTGGACATTGATAAAGAGAGGGACGAGAGGAACATAGTTCGTATTGAAATAAGAGTATTAAAGATGAAACAGTTATGGTTTGTTAAAAAATTAAAGGAAAGTGTTAAATAATGTTGGAGAGAGTGGATGGAAAGTATAAATATAATCTACACTGAACTGAACAGGGGAGATCAGAGAGAAAATATTGAAGTGATTAACCTTACATAAGTAAATTAACCAAATGATAAATATTTATGTTAGTGAAAAAAGTATAAAGGTTGTAGTATGTTTTTTAAGAGTTTAATTAAATAAAATGGATCAATAACAAAAAGATGTTGGTTTAATTTTATTTCAGCACGCAAAGGAACTGTCTAGATACGATTTTTCTTCTATTTAACAAGCGGGTGAATGTGAATAGGAAAAATTCTTTGTTTAATTAAAAACAGGCTTTTTATTGTTTCCCTAGGCTTACTTCATAAGTATTTTAAAAACATAGTCTAGTTGTGATGTACGTATCAAATGTGATTATTAGTTTTTAGAAGATAAACACATATATGTTTTGTTTGTTATGTACATAAACAATGATGTATTACCGATTGCCTAATTATTTTATTATTTTTTATGAAAAGAGGCTCTGTTATCGTTATTTACTATTAATTATTCATTCCATTAATTATTGTGTTTAATTATACTTCAATTACATGTAGGTTTTTAAAAAAACCTCTTAACAATCACATTATTCCTAAATATTTATTGCTATATATTCAATAATTAATAAATGATGTATTTCCAGTTATTAATTTTTATAAGATCAAAAATGTTATATTTTTATCACCTGTATACTTAAAATATATAAATTATATCATGTATCACAATATAATATAAACAAATATTATATAAAAACAAGTTATATATATATATAAATGACAAATAAAATAACTTTAGTTCTAGTGAATATTTTTAAGATTTTTTTTTTTTTTTAATTAATTTATACTCATTAGCACTATAAGTACCACGTTTTTTATTGCACTTAACTATTTTACTTTTTTAAGTTATTTTTTTGCTAAATTTTTTAAAAAGAAATTCAAGATTCAAGCTGAAAATTTTGACTGGTTGATAACCAGATTTAGATAATTACTTTTTAAGTTTCTAAAGGTTAAAGGGTAGGATGGGAGGTGGAGTGCGGTAGAGAATTGTGTGCAGATAAAATAGCTCTATGCGCTTATTCTACGGAACTCCACCTCCCATCCTACCCTTTTACCTTTAGTAACTTAGAAAGTAATTATCTAGTGAAATAAAAAACGTGGTGCTTATAGCGCAAATGAGTATAAATTAATTATAAAAAAAAATCTTTCACTATAACAAAAGTTATTTCATTTGTCGAATCATTGTGGAACATCCTGTATATGTATTATTAAATATTTAGTTACCAGAGTTCCTGAAACTAAATATAGCGATTATAGTTTTATTGAAATATCAGTTAATAGTAAACAAAAAACCTATAGTTAAAAAGATATGTTATATATACTGATATATATCAGTTATTTAAACTACATGCTATATAATATTATAAATAAAAATATTTAAATTTTGGGAGTAAATTCACTTATAAATAATAATCAATATTCATTAACAATATATCTTGTGGCTTCTCTTGCACTATTCATTTTTTCATTGCTTTATATTATACTCGTATTAGTGTGAAAAGCAATAATGGATTTATATCAAATTTAAAAAAATGAAAATAAACGTTAGTGATACTCTCACCTACTAAGGTATGTAATTATAATTAATCAATACAGCTAGTTATTAAAAAAAATCATTTTTGGATTTCGATAAAAGACTATAAGCCTATAATGATGTAATAAGCTAAAACAAATTAAAATTAAAATAAGAACTCGTAGATTTTATTTGGATTAACTGTAATTATAAGTCAATTACCTATTAAAAACTACACATCAGAACTAGATATTTTGTGTTCCTAATATTCAAATATGTATTTTTTTTTATGTCTACCTATCGTAACTAATTGCGATAAGTGCAATTACAATGTTTTATGATCTTCTAGGATATATATGTTTTCGAAGTCATGATTATAATATCTAAGGTGAATTATTGTATTTTAATGATAACACCATAATGTACTGTATTGCTATAATACAATGTAATGCTGTTGTACAATTCCATTGATATTTTACCAAAAACTTCCCAAAGTCAGTCATTAATTTTTTTAAGTTTAAAAATTATATTCAGTATTAAACGAATAATTGTATTAATTTAATTATTCGACTTAATATTAATCATTATTATTGGAAACCTACTTTTTGATTATTGTATTTCGTAGTATTAGGTCTTAAATAATTATTTAATATACTCGTACATCTGTATAATGCCTAATACTTAATAGGTATACTGTATATGCTCATTAAACATTAACCAAACCACCAAGTTTATTGTTATTATCTCAATATTATGAGACACATTAATCGATTAACGAAAGTAAACACATAAATTTAGATAAAACAAATTGTCAGATGTTGTAGCAATAAACTGAGTAAAATTGTATCTTATTAATTTAGTTGTAGCACAATATGTTAATCAAGCACAGAAAACAGAAAGGCTTTTCTATTCACCTATTTATGTGAATGAATATATTAAAATATATATAATAAATAAAATATATTGTTATATAATGGTTTGTATTTATTTTCATAAACGTTGATCACAAAACTAATGGTTGCACGAAATGCTGGTTTAACCTAACTCGCTTCATGTGTGTAAGTGTGTTAATACAATTGTTTTAATTTATCGCTTAGACTACCACGGAGAATATTACTGCTTCCAGTATTGTTAAAATATGTTTGTACATTTTATATTATGCGTTAAAAAATGGCTATGGGGTGGCCTAATGGAAAGTTTATACACAATACACTTAATTTTATTTACGCTTTTTTTTTTTGTTTTGTTTTCTAGGCGACCTGTTAATTTAATGCCCTCTCGTATGCAAAATCGTCTGCACTTCCAACGCAATTGATTATCATAGTATTTTTCGGGTTTTGCTATATGTTACCACGTAATGTTTCTAAAAATTCACTTTTTTGCAAGATTTATTATTTGAGTGAAGAATAGAGAAAAATCGTTGCCTATGAATTCCCGTAATCGGTTCCTATTGATTTGTATAGTAATTTGTACTTTCGTAGGTTTAATATTATCGTCAAGGATGCAACGATTTTATTTTAAGTACACATTTTATTATTATTATTATTATTATTTTGTTTTTAATTGTATATCGTATATATATATATATATTATATTATAGCCTATAGGGCATTTAGTATACGGATATTCTCTTTTAGAATATAGTATATATCATACACGTGTATAAAACATGTAAAAATATTATTTTTTTTTATTACTTAAAAGTTATTTTTGATGACATTTTTATTTATTTTGTAATTATCCTACGAGGAACCTGATTTCGTTGACTTATTTATGCAATTAGTGTAGAGACTTTTTTTTATCGAAGAACTCAAAATATTTATAAATATAAAACAATTATTTTTTAAATATAATATTTTTTATTCTACATAAATCTAAGAAAAAAGCCAGTTTAGTGGGGCCGGGGCCTGGTAGTGACGAAACGTATTGGGAGGAGGTCACAGGTGTACAGAATTTATTTTAAAAGAAAGTGATAAAATCACTTTCAAATAAACGCATTAATGCGCATCTGCAGAGCTACAATCATTATCAATAACGTCCTTAAATTAATATTAGGGTTGGTCGTCTGTCTAATACCACGTTCATACGAGGTCTGTTAATCGTTTACATGTATTTTTTTTATACTAGAGTAGGAGTTGATTAGATTTGACTAATCAAATTAACTTTTTTAAGTGCATTAAGTTAAAACGTTTATATGCCCTTGACTGTCGAATCAACTTAATAAACGTGGTATATCATACTTAACAGTATAATGAACATGTTTTTCAGAAATTTGTTGACTGTTGATTGAATCCAATCGTAGCAGCCTAGAAATATGTACTACGGTCAAAATGTAATTTTCTCCTTTTTTTTTTTTTTTAATAATATATTGTACACAAATTTGAAATTATTTCGACTATTTTCAAAAACGTTATACCACGCTGTATTTTAAGTTGAAAAATATGTTCATTTCATCCAAATATTTGGCCCAATATTGTACCTTTCAGGTACGATATCTGATTTATAGATTTGCCACATGAAGAAATCGGTTCAGCGGTATAAAAGGTCGTGTGGGTCGAAGTGTGATCTGTGGCCATTTCTAGATAGGGGAGGTTTTTTTGCCGGGCCCTGTACCATTGATTATAAATAATATTATTTATAATAAATGATAATACTAATGTTAAAATAGGATTTAATATACCTAAAATTAAGTTTTATTTCTGAGCTAGATGAATTATAAAAAATAGAAGATAGTAAGAGTTGTAATAATCCAACTTCAGTGTTTACGTAAAAAATAGTACGGTGGGCCAAATGATCTGTTTTGGTGGCCAAAAGTGTGTTTAATTATAGATACTGAAACTAAATTCAAAAATTGCTCATCAAAAATCTGATAAAAATTAAATGCGGTAAAATAATTTTTATCTTCTGTTTAGCTGTTAAGAAATACCTATTTAGTATTCTCATGTCGTGTTAAAACTTGTTACCTGAGTAGAAGGAGTGTATAAATGGTATCAAAAACAAGATGATAGCAGATCGCTGTTCATATCAAATATTCTATAATATTAAAATTACTATTGTAATTTCTAATTTGTAATATTATATTTTATCTTATCTACTACCCTATGCTGTATCTAAATATTAGTTTTACAATTTGGTGAAAATTACACTTAAAATAATGGTTCGTGTTAACTGTTACTACTAACTATGAGGGTATCTATCAGAAAAAAAACCAGAACATATGTAGTTACTGAGATAAAAAATAAACCAAGACGACTTAAAAGTAAATATAATTTTTAATTGTTGTCTTAACGAAGTACAATGGTATAATAAATGCATGGTCATAATTCATAATATTTGTATGATTATTTATATTTTGTTGTACTAGGTATGCATTTTTATTATCAACTAGTATTTTACTCCTCTACAAAAGGTTGGAGTTAATGAATATGACCACAGAATACATTTTATTTAAAGCATAACTTGAGGCAAGTGTGGAAAGTAAGTAAATTATTTTAGTAATAAAAAACATTTAAACTTTTTATCATGTAAGTTAGGGCACCTTTTTGCAAAAAAAAAAAAAAAATGATAATAAAGTTAAGTATTGACCGAGCATATCGTTGATAAACAATGTATATAACAACGAATAAAACATTAATATGATATGGAAGAGAGACAGAGATAGTTGGGGCAAACTGGAACGATTAAAACACATGCCCAACTTAGTTCTGTCTCTATCGCTCATAATATCATGGTAACATATTAACTTGGTTTGCATGCGCGGTCTTCAATGCTGGGTACTGTAGTCAGTGAGATGGAATTGTTTTTCACAATGAAAATTATTGCGTTTGGTATGTGAACGAGTTTTCTCGAAAATTGCTTTATGTTACGGTATAATTTTTTGATTTTGATAATATTACACAGTACATAAAAACCAACAATTTAAGTATTCATATCAGCGTTGATTATAAATAATTATATCAATGATATCAGTAACCACCCTTGCTCTACGTTTGTACTTGAAAGTAATGAAAAGTAAACAATTTTAGGAATTGGGCGTGCTTGGTACACCC